GGTTTTTCAGTTTTTGTCTCTGTAAAAAAATCTAAACAAACTAATTTTAAAGTTAGGAATATTTTTTATTATTTTTGAAATGTACTACCTGAAACCAACCAGACATAACTGGTCTATAGAACGTATGTTATATACACACCATACAAATAGACTAATATAAATGGTTCGTAGTTGTTCATCAAAATATGGGGGTCTGCAATTAGAAAGAAACTTTTTTCTGTTATGGTTGACTTGTGAAAAGTAGTTTCTTATTGGAAGACAATATTCAAAGAAGTTAGAATAATAACTACAGAAAAAGTAGAATAATTGAATTTTTATATAGTTTTGAGGAAGATAATTATTAACTTTTTTAGGAGGAGTTATAGCTTCTTATCCCTGGCTGCAAAATTCAAAATTACTGAAAATGAAAATGTTGTAGATAATCTATCATTGAATAATTGGTATGCTAAAGTATGATCAAATGGTAATACAGATGGAAAAATTTATTAATGAAATTCCAATACTGACTTCTGAGAGGAATTATATTTTTTATCAGATCTGGAAAGATTATACAAGGATGTTAGTAATAATTCTGATAAATAGAGTATTATGTATAACCTATAGTTGAATAGTGAGATATATTGTTCTGGCTATTATCTTGTACTGTACTCAAGTTTCTTCTTGCATTACAGAATATTAAGAATGAAAAAATAATAGACAATAAAAATACAAATAATTAAAATAATTTAATTCAATTTATATTTATTTTATTAGATTTATCCCCATATTTATTTCTTAACTGATAGTTAACATAAAAGGCTACAATTATGGAATATGGAGCTGCTGGCTACAGTTAATCCTCAAAAGCCATACAAGTGATATTTTTATGTGTTTTGAGAAGGCCATGAGAGTCATAGCTATCCATGCTTCAGAGAGTAAACTATTCCAGAGGAGAGCTGCTACAGAAAATGCCCACCTTAGGTCATTTCATATACAAATCCTGATACATGGGTACTCTAAATAGGTGTTCCCTAAATGTCTGGGCAGCATAGGCAGAAACTATTAGAGAAAAGCAAGTCCCTAAAATATCCAGACCTCAAGCATAGAGGTCTGGATTGCTATTATACGTAGCAAGCAGCAACTAGAATTGCACTTGGAAACCTAGTGGTAAGTGGCGCAACTTTCGTGGCACTACTGTGATTTGAACATTAAACATCCATCTTGCTGCATTCTGGATTAGTTGAAGTTTGTGGCTGATGTTCTGGTACTGCCCCACATATAGCAAATTATAATAGTCTAATCAAGAAGGCAGAGAAATGAATAACTATATCCAGTTCATTCTGTTCCAGGCTGCAGCTGGGGCACTAGTCAAAGCCAGACAATATTCCTTTTGGCTACAGTTTTCACTTCTTTTTGAGGAGGAGCTTTGAGCCCAGGAGAAGATCCAGATCTTCTAGGACAAGGGTGTCAAACTGCCGGCCCGCGGGCTGGATGCGTCATGCTGAAACCTCACCAACCCCATTGCTGGCAATGGAAAAAAAATTGTGAAATGTCACATGACGTTGCAAGTTTGACATCCCTGTTCTAGGAGAACACAGAACCCATTAAGAGCCAAAGATACAGTTGTCCCTCTGGATCAACAATTTCTACTTGTTTGAGATGAGTGTCGGCCTGTTTTCTACCATCTTGGCCTCTGCTGCTTCCTGAAATCATATCATGACTTCCACCACATTTCCCAGTGAGCCTAAGGAGATGTATGTCACCTGCATGTAGAACTATCACTTTCTTCCATGCTTTTATAGGAAGCCCTTGACCATACTTTACATCACTAAGCAATGTGGTCATAAAGCAAGATGTCATGTGACTACATTCCTTTTATTTTGTTCATTAAACTTCTTTGTCACCCCTCTTGCCTAGAGGCGACATTTATTTTGTGATTCTGCCTGAAATAGGATTAGAAAATCAGCAAGTTCTAGTCTACATTGTGGTCTTGGCTATTTTTCACAGAGGTTTACTACATTTCCTATCACATGCTGTTTCATTATTTAATATCTTAGTATATAATATTATTTCAGGAATGAGAAATGTTTTTTTTTAAAAAATTAAAATTTCCAGATCATTGTGGGGGGGGGGGGAGAGAGAGAGCATTGTACAATTGGGGTACAAGTTAGGCTCAGGTTGGGGTACAAGTTAGGCTCAGGTTACACTACATGAATACAGCATTCATGGATAAAGGGCAAGAATAAGGGTGACTATTGGAAGTAGTGCCTAGATGAAAGTAATATTAAAGAAATATTACATGTTTTATGTTAAAACATCAAAAGTACTTCTAGATTAAGCATTTAAGTGTTCCCCCATCATACTGGATATTTTGTTTCACTAGTTTTTCATATACACCTTTTTTTTTAACTGATGCTGCATGCTATTAAGGTTCATATATTATGAAATGATGATTTCATACAGTATTTTAAGCCACAGTCATGATTTAGTGCAATATGCAAACTGCTAGTTGACTTTATTCAGAAATTTTAAAACAATCCAGAAGAAAGTAGTAGCAAATCATTTCAAAACAGACCCAGTCATCAGCTAGGAGTCAAATTTGGCTCAAGTACTTTTTTTTATAAATCCATCACCACTCTGACAGTTCTTTCTGAATCAGTTAATTCATTCAGCAAATATTAGAAGTTAGGGTTTTTTTAAATTATGAACAATATCTGTTTTAAAGCTGTTTTGGATTTATTAGTGGTCTATACAATGTGCTTAGCTTTTCACTGTCAAAAATAATTTGACGTTATCATCTGAAAGTCTCAACAAATGGCAGGATAGTGTCTGTACTTGGATGCTAAGTACTGATAGTGTCTGTACTTGGATGCTAAGCAGGGCCAGACCTGAAAACTCTGAGCTGGATCCTAGATAAGAAAGTTAGGAGATATTATCAGAACAGGGGTCCTCAAACTTGGCCATTTTAAGAATTTCCCTATGCTGGCTGGGGAATTCTGGGAGTTGAAGTCCACAAGTCTTAAAGTGGCCAGGTTTGAGGACCCCTGTATCAGAAGGCTACAGCAAACCATTTCCATCCCGTTGCCAAAAAATTGAATGGATAGTCCATGAAGTAGTCAGAAGTCAAGTTCATCTCAGAAAAGACAGGAGACTTTACTTTTTTACATTGGCTGAAATTTTAGCTTCCTCTCAAATTACTAGGATTTCCACAATTTTGGTGATTTTTCTCTTCAGTTACATATTAAGAGAAATATACACAGTACATTAATATATTTCATTTATATAATTAGCAGATACTTTAACATTGAAATTAACTTAATTTAGCTTCTGAGAGGCAGTAACATTCTTGTAACTTGTTCAAAGAATTAATTCATTTGCTTCTAAAAAGTTTGTTTTAAAGGAAAAATAGGCAAATTGTGGGACTGTCTAGATTGGCTGAGGTGGGAGAATTGATCTCATTCACTATGCATTTTAATTGATTTATGGTTACCATATTAAAGAAGAGAATAGATACTTTCTCACTACTTCAGCATTACTAATTGCTGTTTTCTTAGATCAAGAATGTTTATTCCAGAGATCTTTAGTATTAGAGTGATACTTTTATTTATTGCTTCTAAGACACTCCAGTTGCTGCTCCTGCCTGCTAATTTATACTCAAATTCTGCAGACCAGCACTGAGATTGAAATAGATGATTGCTGACTAGGGAAGGAAAAGCAAAAAAGAAAGAAAGAAATCCACCCAGCAAATCTCATTGCAGTTCTATGCTGCAGCTGTATCCCACAATCCCTTGCACCATTTGCTGCAGTCTTCCAGCACAGATAGAGTGAGAAAGATGCTCTAAATAAAGATTGATTGGCTGGAATCCTTTAGGGGTCTCCCACTTGTCTGTGACCTGAACAGGAGGAAAAGAGAGAGAAAGAGAGAGCTTGACTGGGCCTCCTTTTTTCATTAATTTTCTCCCTGGAATGGAGCATTGTTATCTGAAGCAGGAAATATGCTGCATCTCCAGTAATGACCACAAACATAGCAAATTTCTAACAGCTTCAAACGTGAGACTTTTAAACTCTAATATATTACTATAATTATGATTGGCTCTTTTGGACAACTGCAAGAGACGACTGCATTCTGGAAAAGATATCTTACTTGGTATTGCATTGATTAAGCTCAGTTTTTCATGAAGATGGGTATGTCTTAAGCATTTATGGTTATTCAGCTAGCATGCTTTTTGTCCCTCTTATATATTCCTGCTCTCTTTAAAAATGATACTGCATGGTTTATAATTATGTGTTCTTTAAACAAAAATGGGCTATTGTGATTAAAAGCAATGAGGAAAAATAATCTGTAAGAAAGAAACACCTGTGTCTGAAGATGCTTAGAACTGTTTTCTGAGAAATAATTTATATTTTACTCGTAATAGTTCTGGAAAGAAAATCTATTGATTTGATAGTTTTTTTCTCAAGTAGTAGTGTTCAATTTGTGGAATTCCACCTAGATCATAGCCTGGTTTTTGAACCAGTGTTCATATTGTAAAAATCTCGTATTTGCCTATAGAGATTTGACAATTATGTTGTAAATATTGCTTCTGGAAACCTATTCATGCATAATATGTGGTTTAGAACCTGAGTTTTGTGAATCGTTGATCTGTATGCGTGATTTAGTTTTCTCTTTGAAAGCTTAAGGGTAGCAGTAGTTGGGCGGAGCCCTGCTTTTATTTGAAAATGCTGTGCAGTTTGAGCAAGCTTGGCTATTATCCTTATAGTTTTTTTTTCACTTGATAGAATCGTAATTCTAACATATATAATACATTTTGTTGAAATGTATAAATAATAATTGCGTGGGTCTTCATTGTATCTTCTGTTTCAGATGGGTGTGGCCACACACTCTTTCTTTGTGATTATTAACAAAACAATATTTTTTATGGATCTTACATCATAGTCACCAGCATTTTATACATGTATTCTTTCTATGTATTAAAAGCTATTTTGATAAGAAAGTATTCATTTAAAGCAAGAGCATGATGTCATTTTCTGAAGTGATTTTAATGCTAATGCTAGTTCCTTATCAAAGAATACATTATTTTGAAGGCTGTACTCCAGAATTAGGTTAACAATGTTTAACAACTTTTTAAGGGCAGCTAGTATGTGTATAAAATTGTGAAGTTTCATTTTTTTCTATTTTAAAAAAATGTAAAAGGAGCTTAATTGCTCTTGTTTGTAAGAAACAGATTATTTTCAGAATTATTTACAATGTGATCATGCAATTGTTGGATATTCAAAAATGAAAAATATAGTACCCTAAACATAAAAGATAATTATTAACTTAAAAGGTACACTTTTACAAAATATAAGTTCAGTAAGAAATCATTGTGGCATAAGTGTTTGGATCGTGGAGATAACGAATTATTTTTTCAGACACATTAATTATATTCAAGTCTTCTGATCACATCTTAAACTATAGTTATCCATTCAAAATTAAAGTATGATTTGATTTCTAACATGAAAGAATATGTTAAAGTGTACATATTAAGCAAGAAATAATTGCCTGAGGACCGTGGTTTATTCTTACAATCAGATTTAAAGGACTAAATGATGCAGTTATTGGTCAAATTTAGACATAACTTTAGCTTAGTGCCATGGGTAAAAGTTACTTATTGCTAGCAGGCATGCATTCAGGTAGTCCCCACTTAGTGACTACTCATTCAGTAACCATAAGTTGTGACATCACTAAATGAGTGGTACTTAGGACTAGTCCTCAAAGTTTCAGCCTTCACTTCACCCTGATCATATGATCACGACCATATTTAATGTGAGCACCATTTGCAACTTTACCCTCCTGCTTCCCACAAGCAAAGTCAATGTGGAAGTCAGCAAGGCATGCATTCAGGTAGTCCCCACTTAGTGACTACTCATTGAGTAACCATAAGTTGTGACATCACTGAATGAGGTAAGGTAAGGTAAGGTAAAAATGCACTCTAGTAAGCCTCCCTCCCCCCATCTGGCAGCATCCACTGTCAACCCCAAAATTGTTTGTGCATGCCACTGCATTTGCCTCTCATCTAGCAGGACCCACTTACCTGCCTTCTAACCTGCTTGTGAACAGTCTGGGAATTGAATTTCCTGACAGCTTCCTCACTGACATAGTTGTTGGAAGCCAGCCAGACATTGTGAGTGGGTCCTCACTTAATGACCAGTGAACCTTGCTTAAGAATATCATTGGGCACTGCCAGGACTACTGTTTGCTAAGTGATGCTCTCACATGGCATTGCACTTTACAGTCACATCATTTAGTGACAAAAACTCTGGTCCCAATTACCATTAAGTGAGGACTATCTGTAAACTTCTATTTGGAACAGTACTTACTAAAAACTCATTCAGAGGGAAAAAAAAGATGATATTGCCCCATAACTGAATTATTCAGCCAAAACTAGCCTTAGTATATTTTTTAGTGTGGTTTCTTTGTATTCTGTATCAGTGAACATAAAAAGAATGGTAAGATATTTTTTCCCCAAGGGAGTTTTTTCCATAATTATTTCATGCAATCCTAAAACAAAAACTACAAAAACAAAAATTGCTATCATTCTTGCATTTTCTGTCTTTTTCATACTAAAAAGGGCTTTGTTATACTATTTTATTCTGTTATAAAGTTTTCCACCAGTAGTTATTTCTGTGCTAGGACTTGCTCTTTTTGAATTCTGTCTTAGACAAATATGTTGGCTTTTATTTTAAACTAACCAGTATAATTGAAAAACACAGGTGAAGCCTACTTTTAGAAAATTCTGTGTCGCCTCTTCTTAGTGTTGCTCAATGTTCCAATTTCCATCACCATTGTTGATGGCTGCCGAGTACTGGAGCGATGCTGGATTCATATATTTATCTAAGATAAAGAATACAAAGGTATATTTACCAGGTGCCAAACACCCCGTTGTAGCAACCTGTTCTTTTTCAACAGTGTTCTGATATTAAAATTGTACTTTGACTGACAATTCAATTAAAGAAGATATGGCAAAGTAAACAACGGCAAATTAAAAACAAAGCGGACAATTGAGAAATGATCTATTCACTCCCAAATTGGTGATTGTGGCTAAGTTAAAACAATATAGGGCAGTGTATATTGTTTAAGCCTATACTAGAATAGGACCAATTTTTAAAAAGTTATGCTAAATGAAAGAACATTTAGAACATCAACAGTTCCTCTTCCATTAAACATAGTAACTTAGGGCAACAAATGTATATATTTTTGTTACTAAGCTTATATTTCTGCATGTATGATTACTACTTATTTACAGTTATTCAAAAGAGGCTAAGTATTAGAATAAAATCAAAATTAAAATCAGAATTAAGATTAGTAAGATTTAACAGCATTGAAAAAAACTAGGCTAAACACATCTGAATGAGTGAAGCAGAAAGCGCTTGGAGAAAATGGGAGAGAAGGGTGAAGGAGTGAAGGAGAAAGTGCTTGGAGAAAATGTGCTGATTTCCTTCAGGGGATGCCTGATTTTCTCCCTCCCTCATTACAAATATCTTCCCGCCATTCTGCTCTCATGGCTGTGCGGCTCTTGTCCAGCAATTTACAATGGCCTTTCAAGTCATGACCACCGGCGGCACAGCCACCAGCCACGCTGGCGGCCTGTCTCCCTCCCCTTGTCCCTTCCTGGGCACAGAGGGAGGGAGGGAGGGAGGGAGGGAGGGAGGGAGGAAGGAAGGAAGAGACAATGAGAGGGAGGGAGGAAGGGACAATGAGAGGGAAGGAAGGAAGGAACGGACAGTGGGAGGGAGGGAGGGAGGGAGGGAAGGGACAATGAGAAGGAAAGAAGGAAGGAATGGACAATGGGAAGGAGGGAAGTCACCCACCACAGTCCCACCCCCTCCACCAGAGACCCACAAATCCGCCCACAGCCCCGCCTGCACCCCCCAGAGGCGCCCCGCAACCTGAGTGATGTTGAGCTGCCCATATCCCCACAGCCATTGACTTCACTTATCAAAAAGTTACAAAAGATGATCACATGACCCCGGGACACTGACCGTCATAAGTATGAATCAGTTGCCAAGCATCTGAATGTAAATTACATGACCCTGGGGATGCTGCAACAGTCATAAATGTGAAAAATGATCATTAGTCACTTTTTCAGTGCTGTTGTAACTTCGAACAGTCACTAAGTGAATTATTGTAAGTTGAGGACTACCTGTACTTTATCACTTTATTTCTTTTTTTTGGGGGGGGGGGTCAAGTTTTTGACACCTTGCTAGACGAGTGGTGGTACTCAAATACTGCAGCCACGCCCACCCAGTGGGCCACGCCCACCTGGCACCCGGCAATAAATAAGTGGGTTTTGGGTTGCAGTTTGGACACTCGGTCTCTAAAAGGTTTGCCATCACTGTGCTAGGTAGAGCCAGGAAGGTAAGTCTGTGCAGCATTTTGCAAACTAAAACTAGCAGAAGGATTTATATAACATCTGCCAGTAACTTCTTAAAGCAGCTATTCTCAAAGAATCACTTGGTTCTCCTCGGTACTCCTTCAAATCTTGCCATAACTCCTTTATAGGGTTGTTGCTAATAGTTCCCATTATAGATGCTGAGCTTTTATTTAAGTGAACGGATTACACTTTTATTTTGATATGTTATTTCATGCAGTTTTTCTGGTGCTGAGGTACTCTACATTTTGATTTTTTAAACAAAGTTTTTATATTATTAGTTTCTGGAGAGAAAATTCTTTCAGATTGCTTCTCTTTATATAGACTACTCTGAGTTAGTCTTTAATGTAATATAGTTATTAGCAGCTGCCCAGATTTTTAATTTACAAAAATAATACAATAGTGTGCTGCCTTATTTCTAAGGGCAAAAAGTGCTTCACGTTGCAGTAAATAATTATTCAGTCAGGATAAAGAGCATCAATGTTCATTGTTAGTAGGAATTACGTATTTCTTTAATTTTAAACACTTGTCATTTTTTTAAAAAACTTTCAGCAGTGTGCAGGGTGAAAAAGAGCAAAATCCATATGTCAGTAATCTAGGATGGCCAGTGAAGGCTCCAATATCCCAAGCCCTGTCGTGCGTCAGATTGACAAACAGTTTCTGATCTGCAGCATATGCTTGGACCGTTACAAGAATCCCAAAGTGCTCCCATGCCTGCATACCTTTTGTGAGAGGTAAGTGTTTTTTAGTGTCTAAGTCAATCCAGCCATTGAATCTGCCTGGATTGTCATGTCAATGACTTCTCCCAGGGGTTTAGGCTTACCTTTAATATAGTAATAGTAAATTGTCAATGAGGTAGAAAGGTTTTCTTAAAATTACAAAAAATAATAATAAATAAAAGAATAAATACTCCTTGGCTCTTTTTAACTTTATCATTCCCCTTTTTGATGTATTTTCATGATGCCTTAACCATAATCAGTTTATTGACATGAAATAAATTATAATTACTTAAATGAAATAGTAGAAAATTACTGTTCTATTTCATCTTGGAAGTCAATTGCATTGATAGTAAAGTTTGTTCCAGATACTCAGAACTGAAGCCTTGGCAACTGTTCTGCACTTCAAAACTTAGTTTACTGTCAGTGTTGCTCTATGTCCCTGGCAGTACTGCTGTTGTTTCCATGTTAAATGAAAAAGTAAAGGATGGTATTTTTCTTACACTGATTTCCATACAAATAAAAGCTACATTTAAATCATATCATATACTGAGAATGTTGTGAGAATATTGTAATTCTACCTGAAAGTAGAAATAATATTTCCTAATCTTTGTGTGTTTCATCATTTACAAGGTTTGATGGCATTTGCAGTTTTTTAAAAATGAATACCTGTCATATGTCCACAACATAATTTTTCTTCTTATAATATTTAAAACAGTCTCTTAAGATTGTGTTGTATTATATGAAATCCATTCAGCTCTAGCTGAATGCCTTAGGCCAGGGGTGTCAAACTGCCAGCCTGTGGGCCTGATGCATCATAGCGAAATCGCGCTCACCCCATTGCCGGCAATGGCAAAAAAGTCACGACATGTTACGATACATCACGTGACGTTGTGAGTTTGACACCCCTGCCTTAGGCTATTACAGGCAGATTTAGTTTAGCTTTATCTTTAGCTGAAGGCTGTACCTAAATTGATTTTTACCTGTGGGAAGAGGATTTAAGCCTCTTTGTGACCCATTGTAGACTGGGAAGCAGTGCAAAAAGATCAATGTGCTTTAGGCTCTAAGGCAGCTTCTCTCAATCTGATGCTATGCAGGTGGTTGGCATGCTGGCTGGAAACTACGAGACATCTCAAAGGCATTTTGGAGTAAGGAGTATGTTCATCTTTTAAACATTATGCATGTGTGGATATGATTATTAGCAAATATTTATCACACACAAAATCACCAGAATATCATAAAATTTTAATACGAGTTCTTGTATATTGCAAGATACATGAGTTCTTAGACTTTATAGGGTTGCTAGATTTTTAGGATGCTATGTAGTAAGTGCCTGTATTGACCTCTGTGGTTTTGACTTTCTTTGGGGTGTAGTAAATCTGAGTATATGAAATATTATTTTCTTTGATTCCTTCAAAGACACCTTCCTTCTGTTTCACCTTTTTAAGGTCTGCAATATTTCATTACAGGTAGTCCTCTGCTTATGACAGACCAGAATTTCCATCATTGCAGTTGTAAATCAAGTCAGAACCAGTTTTACAACAATTTTTACCATGATCATTGAGTGAATCACCATGGCTGTTAAGTGAGTCACACAGTCATTAAGCGAATCCAGCTTGACCAGTGGGCATTTTTGGCCATAAATTGGATCAAATGACTGCAGGATGCTGCAACAGGTCATAAACCAGTTGCCAAAAAACCAAATTTTGATCATATGACAATGAGGGTAATGTGATGGTCAGATGTGTACAGGTTCTAGCTTTTACCCAAACCTTTCATAACTTTAAACTGTTGTTAAATAGTTGAAAGTTGAAGACTATCTGTGTACATTGTCAGGGGACTACAAATTTTAAATGGTGAAGAGTTTTACCTCTTTTTTTTTTAAAATGAATTAGAAAATTGGGAATATGAAGCAATACTAACAATTATTCAACTTTTTGTTATTCTCATTAGGTGTTTACAGAATTACATTCCAGCTCATAGCTTAACCCTTTCTTGCCCAGTGTGCCGCCAGACATCTATTCTTCCAGAGAAGGGGGTTTCTGCACTGCAAAACAATTTCTTCATCACCAACCTGATGGATGTCCTGCAGCGAACTCCAGACAGCAGTATTGAGGAGGCTGCCATCTTGGAGACTGTCACAGCTGTAGCTTCAGGGAAACCACTTTCCTGCCCCAATCATGAGGGAAATGTAAGTGGATTTGATTCCTGTGAGGTTTATTGTTGAAAGGAAATGGCAAGGGTTACTATCAGATTAATTGAACTCTGAGATTAAAAGTGAAAAATTACTGCTTTATATATAAAATTGATTTTGGTAATATTTTATTTCCACTGTGACCATATAGTTCATAGGTAAAAATATTAAATGAACTGAGTTGGAGGAATTGTGTGCACACACATGAGTGTTATATTAATTCTTTTATACGATATTTATTGAAATACAAATCTGTCTCCTTCATATCTAGGAATACTTTCCTACTTTTGGTCTGCATAATCCTTGTTCATAATGTATTTACAGATCTGTATAAAATATGTACACTTCATTACTGTAAATTCCAGGTCTGGCTGTAAGAATAAAACATACTTGCAGAGGAGCAAACTGGCTTTAGGGAAGGCCAATCTACCGCTGATCAGTGTCCAGTACTCCCATCATTTCATTGAAAAATACTCCTCCCGTGATACTACCTCCCTTTGTGCTACTTTCGTTAACTTCAACACATTTGATTCCATATCCCAAGCTAAATTATGGGAAAAACTGGAGGCAGCCTCAATTGACTAAAGTCTATCTCATTTAATACTTATGCTACATGAAGGGCTTCAAGGTGCTATGGAAACCTCCTTGGTATCTACTACAAATAGTCCTGAACTTACGACCACAGTTGAACCAAAAATTTATGTTGTTAAATGATACATTTGTTAAGTGAGTTCTGCCCATTTTACAACTTTTCTTACCACAGTTGTTAAGTGAATCGCTGCAGTTGATAAGTTAGTAACCTAGTTGTTACTAACTAGTAACCTAGTTGATTTCCCTATTAGCTTTGCTTGTCGGACGCTTGCAAAAGGTGATCACATGATCCTGAGACACAGCAAAGGTCATAAATATGAACCAGTTGCCTAGCATCTGAATTTTGATCCACATGGGGATGCTGCAAAGACTGTAACAATGAAAAACTTTCATAAGTCACATTTTTCAGTGCTGTTGTAACTTTGAATGGTCACTACATGAACTTGTAAGTCGAGGACTACTTGTATATTCTTTAAACTTGGCAATTTTGTTCATTTGATTATGTATATGATTATTAATATTTAAAAATAAATTCAGGAGCTAATATGTTGCAAAGCATTGGTTTCCAGCATCTTCTTTGAACAATTGAATTTGCTATATAATTTTACTAGGTGCAGTCCTTTGTGAGAGGGCTGATTCAACCATAGGGACTAGCAAGCTCCAAGATGTTACTCGTTTGCTGCAAACCATCTTAAGGATTAGTGTGTCATCTGAATTGTTCTCTGTGGCGTTTAGAAGAAACACAACATTAAAAAATCCTTTTTCTATATGTGACATGATTTTATGAGAAACTTAAAGCCCCTTTATTCATTGAAGTTCTTTCTTTTTAAGGAAGTTAAACAGAAATACATTAATGAAATAAACATAATTTTGATAGATGAAATACTTGTTTCTTTTTCTATTGAACTGTGAGAAAATCTTGGTTGTACTGGCGTTCCCATTGGTGTAGTTTATTTTAATCTGCTCTTGCCTGAGAAATGTGAGAATTAATGCACGCATTCTAAATCTGATAAACTTTAAAACATCAACCTAAGCAGTTTATATTACTTTGTGTTAAATGTGTTTGTGCCAGAAATATGGGGCTCATTAATGCAAAGCTGATACCATTCTAATTTGTATTGCAAAAGGTATCAGTAATGCTTCAGGAATTTATGAAGTAATTTAATACTCCTAAAGCACAAGACGCAACTGTTTTATTTAAAACTGAAGAATGGAGAAAATAACTCACTGAAGAGTAATTTGTTATGCTTTAAATAAGAAACTCTTAAGATGGTATTTCTATATACGTAAGTATGGGATAAGTTTCAATATTATTGGATGTTATTATGCACAACTATTTCTATATAATTATGCTAACTCTGCTGGAAATGGTTAGTGGAACAAGAAGAAGGGGCATATACTACTAAAATTCCTGTGTCTGTTTGTAATATTCAATTGGGTGAAACAATGCATCCATAGAGCAACGTTTTTTAAATTAATGTACCTCAATTGGCCTAACTTAAATAATGTATCCGAATCTGGGATCCATGTCTCCATATGACTGAAATTTGGTAAAGCTATGGCTGCTTCAGTCAGCCAGGATTGCCTCTAATGTCTGTGTGTATTAACCCATGTAGTATGATTGTAGTATTATTATTAATCCTTTATCTTCTTTAGTTCCCCACTCTTATTGATATTATGATTGTCATTATTCTGTTACTTTACATGTACACTGAAAGCATCTGCACTGGAGACAAATTCCTTGTATGTCCAATCACACTTGGCCAAATTCAATTCAATTCAATTTCCAGTGCTTCCTGCCAGCTTCCCACAAGGAAAATCAATGGGAAAGCCAACAGGAAATTCATTCCTGCTCCCACTGCTTCCCCCCCCCCCTCCATGGTTATTGTGTTTCTTTGTTTAGGTAAGGAAATATATCTGAAACAATGACCCCATGGGTTGTGGGTTGTCTAGTTTTACATAAAACAATTTTTGACTTTAGCTTTTGTTTTTATTTTGTATATATAATTTGTAAAAGAAACGTTACCAATATAAAATGTAAATATTATTATGCATACCAGCTAAGAATTATTTATTGAAATGATATTGAAATAATATTTAAATAATATTTTAAAAATATTTAAATAATTGCCTATCTTATGCTGGACTCTGGGTGACTCCCAATGATGCCCCATTGTATTTAGTGGAATTTATAATTTAGGTAAGTAAGTATACAGCTGTGAGCTAAAATTCTAATGCTCTTCGTATTTACGTAAGCACAAGCCTATGAACACATTGAACTTTACATTGGAGTAGAGGTGCAAGAGAAGACCATGTCAGTAGTAATAAAATTGAATGTTTATAGCAGGTGATTGTTTTAGTGACCTTAGTCACTGTGATGAAAGCTAATTTGGTGTAATGTTAAAGTCGTGAGCTAAAATTGGGAAACCATGGATTTTAATACTGATTTGGAAAAGCTAGCTCAGGGATGTCAAACTTGATGTCACGTGACATATCAGGACTTTTCCCCATTGCCGGCAATGGGGTGGACGCGGTTTCAGCGTGACGCATCCAGCCCACGGGCCCGCAGTTTAACATGCCTGAGCTAGCTGGATGACTTTTAGCCTCGGAAGGAGGCAAAGACAAACCACTTCTGTAAAATGTTGCCAACGAAATTGCCTAGATTTTTCCAGGCAGTCATTAGAATCATGACAAACTTGAAGGCAGAGGAAAAACTCCTCTTAATAGGGCAGAGATCTCCAACCTTTCCAGGCTCGCGGCCCAGAGGGCAGGAGAGCAGCTTCCAAATTGCTGCACACAAACGGGGCCGGATGCACCACCGTGGCACTAGTGGCCCCATTTGCACAGGCGCAAACAGGCAGCGCAACCCACCTGGTGCTAGCAGCCCTATTCGCACATGCGCAGATGGGCCGCACACATCCGCCCTGCGCTAGCAACCCCGTGTGTGCGCAAACAGGGCCATGGGTGCTAGTGCAAGTGGGAGGAGTGTGTGTGCACACGTGCGTGCACACGTGCGTGCACTGGCCAGCCATTTCTGTAGTCCATTGCCCAAGAGGCCATGGCCCAGCCCATAGGTTGGGGACCCCAGTAATAGGGTATTTACGGGTATAGTGTGGGAAATGATTGAAAAATAAAATTTTATTTTTAAAAGCTTTGAATATGTAGTATATCTAGAACTAGGGTTAGGGTTAGGGTCTATAGACTAGAATCTATTACATGATTAAACTGCCCCAGAAGATGCTTTACTTGCTTCAGACGAAAAAAAGGAAATTACTTTGGATTTAAAGTCAGTAAAGATTAATGATCAAGTTAAAGCAAAAGTATACAGCCTGGATATACCTCATGTAGTTTCCTCCATCCACTTTTGCCTGTGGACATCAAAGCTGTTCCAAATATTGCCCAGTGTAACAGAAGGGAGAAAAGATTACATACACCGGGAATTATGTTTGCATAATTAAATTGTAAATGTAATATTAAAACTAATTCGGTTTACTTTTTTTCAGGCTCCATTTTTTTTGAGTGTTCCTGGTTGATCCTTTCCTCAGAATTCAAATGCAGCCCTTTGCTAGAAAAATATTGCATGTCTTTGATAAAAATAAATTTTCATTGAAATGTATCATTTAAACAATTAGAAACTTGAACACTGGCATTCTAATAAGAATATGTTTTTTTTTTATTTTTAATCAGCTGATGGAGTTTTACTGTCAATCCTGTGAGACAGCCATGTGCCAGGAATGTACAGTAGGAGAACATGCAGAACATCCAACAGTCCCTCTTAAGGATGTAGTAGAACAACACAAGGCTTCTCTTCAAACACAGTTAGATGCTGTGAACAAAAGGTGAAACTATGAAACATTTCCTGGTTATAGAATTGCATGTTAATTTTCTCCAGCTTGGAACCTTACAGATGAGTAAAGGTTATACTTTCTAGAGCATGTGTCTGGGAATTCTAAAAGTTTGACTCTTCACATATCTAAGGAGCATCATGTTGGATATGTCTTTTCTGAAACATAAAAACAGAACATTATTTATGACTGTTTTAAAATGTTGCTTGTGCTTTCTTATGAGAATGTACAAGTCCTTTTACTTCCTGGTCTTTTCACTTTCATGAAGATTTAGAATGTTTATAAAGTGCAATAATAATCTTTTTCTTTGTTGAAAATTTAAAATACCAGCCTGGATTTATTATACTTATTCTTCCTTTCCTTGTTTAGAGAATAGTCAAGTAAACATTTAGAAGACATTGGTAGTATTCATATAATGTCAAGCTTAGGTTTTTTTAAATTTTTTTTAAATTATTTTAATTAAATTAAATTTAAATTATTTAAATTATAATAATTAAATTATTAAGTTATCTCATCTACCCAAATTTTCTAATTGCAGTTTAAAATAGGATTGAATAAATTTAGTTGACTGAAGGGTTGTATCAAACTTCGAGGTGCGTATTCTAAAACTAGGTGGAAGAAGGCAAGACTTGGTCCAGAAATAGTAATTTACAGGTAGAAAAATGCACAAAAGAACCAAGTCGTTGATTCTATCTATCGGGGCCCATGTAAGAAAAACTAATAGACAGGTGGGTTTATTGGGCCCCAAATTTAAAAGTTAGTGGCAAAAAATGCAGAAGAATAAACAAGCCAACATATTGTAAAATTTATTGACCACCTCTAGACGTAATTATAGACCAGAAGTTTTCAAGATTTTGGCTCATTGGGAATGAGCAGCATGCTGTTGTTTGCTGCATAGTTATTCTATTGGGTTCCTGTTAGTAAGAATAGTTAAACAAACCCAGATGGTTTGATGTGGGAGGACAAACCAGATTTCTTAGTTCCTTGTAAATGATATGTTACAGGCAGAACTGTCTGTTTTTGTTTAATGCCCATGCTGAAAGGAAGAGGCAAGTGGAATCAATTATGTATTGAGCACAAGGATGCTGCTTGTTCTAAGTTAAATGGAAATTTTAATGAATTCTAGCTTACAATTACAAGTGAAATAGTTCAAGATTCCTTTACAATTGACAATATTTGTATTGTCTGAAAATTATAATGCTAACAAAATTTTAAAAACCACATGTGTATATAAATTAGCATAGCCCTGAAGATCACTAAGTTTGTATATGTTTCACATTTTGCTCTGAGCTACAGTTTACTGAATGTTTATAGTTTTATTGGGTTCATACAAAATACTAAGGTATAATCAAATATATTCTGCTTTAGAATGATCTGTAAATCCAGCGAATATTTGTGTACAGCTTTTAACATTAGAAAAGTCAGCATCCAATCTACATTTATATTTGTTTATTGGTAACTATTATATATTATTCATGGGAAAAGATTAAATGTTCTCAATAGAAAGAATGGAGAAGCAAACATCTAAAGGTCAGATCTGTAACATAGGTAGTCCTCGACTTATGACCATAATTGAGCCCAAAATTTCTGTTGTTGAGACATTTGTTAAGTGAATTTTGCTCCATTTTACAACCTTTCTTGCCACAATTGTTAAATGAATCACTACAGTTGATAAGTTAGTAACACAACTGTTAAGTGAATCTGGCTTCCCCATTGATTTTGCTTGTCAAAAGGTTGCAGAAGATGATCACATAACCTTGGGACAAAGCAATGGTCATAAGTATGAACCAGTTGCCAACCATCAGAATTTTGATTACATGAACATGGGGATGCTACAAAGTCATAAGTGTGAAAAATGGTCATAACTCACTTTTTTCAGTGCCGTTGTAACTTTGAGCAGTCGCTAAATGAACTGTTGTAAGTCAAGGACTGCCTGTACATTGCATTCAAACATAACATTTAACCATGGCTTGGCACTATGTGTGTAGGGCAGTGGTTCTCAACCTTTCTAATGCCGTGACCCCATAATACAGTTCCCCATGTTGTGGTGACCCCCAATCACATACATCACTGGGTGCCAGGGGTGTGGCCAAAGAAAAGGGGGGAAGATGGCGGATAGCCTTGTTTGGCGACCCCCGTGAAATGGTCGTTTGACCCCAAATGGGGTCCCGACCCACAGGTTGAGAACCACTGGTGTAGGGTCATTATGATTGAGTATCGTTCAAAGTTTAATAATTGTATAATGATATGTCTTATGCATGTTGAAGGGATATAGTAGGATTGATATTTGAAATGTTAACTGCTTGTTTTTAATAGGCTTCCAGAGATAGATACTGCATTGCACTTCATATCTGAAATTATCCATCAACTGACCAACCAAAAGACCAGCATTGTAGATGAAATTCATTCCACTTTTGATGAACTCCAGAAGACATTAAATGTTCGCAAGAGCGTGTTGCTTATGGAACTGGAAGTGAATTATGGCCTTAAACATAAAGTAAGAGCTGTGTTCTCATCATTAAAATATTTCTCAGTTTTTAATGACTGTATTATATCATTAGGAAAAATGACTGAAATTCATATTTCCTTTAATGAAGGAAACCATAAAATAGTGAAATTTGTATTTTTCCAGTTTGTTTTATTATGTAAAATCTAGTGTCTTGTACAAATAAACAGCTTCAGAAACATTGTTCTAATATAGATTGAAAGAAGCTGTAATTGGAGATGGTCTAATCAGAAGTTTCCAAATTGGTTGGTTGCTATTTTGTGGGAACTTTTTATTTTAACAGACATTTTATGGCAGTGTTATTCAGTATGCTTTTATGTTGACTCAAACAAATAAGATGTGATTTTACTCAGTTTTGCATTATTAGATATTTCCCTGAGATATTAAAACTTGCCGATAGAAGTGCTTTTTGTTTTATTATTTGGAACTTCAATGAAATAACCACAGTATTTGCTTTTATCAAGGTCTTGCAGAATCAGCTTGATACTTTATTGGAGGGACAAGAAAACATTAAGAGCTGTAGCAATTTTACCACCCAAGCACTCAGTCATGGAACTGAAACAGAAGTGTTACTTGTCAAAAAGCAGATGAGTGACAAGCTAAATGAACTGACAGACCAGGAATTCCCTCTTCAGCCCCGTGAAAATGATCAGCTGGATTTCATAGTAGAAACAGAAGGATTGAAAAAATCCATTCATAATCTTGGTACTATTTTAACCACAAATGCAGTGGCTTCTGAAACAGTGGCCACAGGTGAAGGACTTAAGCAGACTGTGATAGGGCAGCCAATGTCAGTCACCATCACAACCAAGGACAAAGATGGTGAGCTCTGTAAAACTGGAAATGCTTATCTCACAGCTGAGCTGAGCACACCTGATGGAAGTGTGGCAGATGGAGAGATACTGGACAATAAGAATGGCACTTATGAATTTCTGTACACTGTCCAGAAAGAAGGGGACTTTATTCTGTCTTTGAGACTGTACGAGCAACATATTAAAGGCAGCCCATTCAAACTCAAAGTAATTAGGTCAGCAGATGTATCTCCTACTACTGAAGGAGTTAAGAGACGTGTTAAGTCTCCTGGCAGTGGCCATGTGAAACAGAAAGCTGTAAAGAGACCAGCTAGTATGTACAGCACTGGCAAAAGGAAAGAGAACCCCATTGAAGATGATCTAATCTTCCGAGTAGGTAAGGAATGCCTCTATTTTAAATTTTCTTAGACTGCTGCTGCTTATAGCTGCAAACAGTGTTCATATTATTATTTTAGACTTGTAAGGACTTTGTCTTGTTACAAGGATTTCCTTGCTAGTTGTCCATTGTAAATAGTCTTTCTCCAGCATGACAAATGGAGAATCCATAGATGGGTTGATCTTGCTTTTCTGCCCTAGAGACTAAGTCAATCAACCTTTGCCATGCCTCTCTTCCTCCGGCTAGGAATCCCCAGTCACTACTTAGTCACTATGTCACAAGAGAGACATAGTGAAGATTGTCTCTTGTTTCTAGCAGAAAGACAAAACTGTGATTTTCCCTTCCCTTCCCTTCTCTGTGCTGATATCAGTGCTGCTTTCCAAACCGCTGAGTGTCAGAGCAGTTTTGTAGGCTTCAGCTGAAGCCTCAAGCTAATTATGGCTTCCAGGCAGGGCAGAAGTATAACGGTCGCCATTTTGAGCACCGCTTTTATTGTTCTTGAGTGGAGGGGGGACCCTCCCTTCCAACGAGGGCCGTTTAGACTCAGAGTCAATTTTGGTAGAATTCAGTAGCATTTATTAATTTGGACATAACGACGGAGCAGGAGGTCGCTTACTAGTGGCTGCCATTTTGAAAGCCTTACAAACACTCTCTGGCCATTCAGAAGGCCAGAATTAAGGAGCAGCATTTCAAGGATGCTCCTTCTCCAATTCCAGGCTCCTTGGCAGCTCGCAGCATACCAAGGCTATTACAATTTGAGGCAACAAAAATAGCCTCCTTCACTGTGTCTGGACGCAATTTCCAAAGACTTCAGGGCGTGGCTGAATGCCCACTTTAACTGCTACAGCGCCTCTTCCCACTACCAATTTCGCTGCTTATAAATATGCTGGCTATCCCATTAAGTTGGTCTTGCCGCCACTAATAGGATTGTGAGTGTGCTGGCTATCCCATTAAGTTGGTTGTGCCGCCACCACTTCTAACCACCACTTGGCTCCTGGCTACTGGGATCACCTCTCTGTTACAAATACTTTGAGTTTGCCATTTGTGTGATATCTCTGATTTTGCAATGGCAGATAAAACCACAGAAGCTCAGATATCTCAAAGGTGCTTCCAGCAGTTCCTCCAGGCACAAGAAATCCAGATCAACCAAGCAGGAGGCTGCTGGGAAACTCAGATCCAAAGCTATCTCTGGCAAAAGGTCTTTCAAAGCTGCTGAGAAGGAAGCAAGCAGGAGGCACCAGGCATTGGAAAAACAATTCTCCAAAGCTGCAAGGCAAAAGAATGATGCAAAGGTTATAATGATAATGATAATAATGATAACGATGATAATAATAATAATAATAGTTGAATGGGACCTTGGAGGTCATCTAGTCCAACCCCCTGCTGAGGCAGGAAACCCTATACCATTTCAGACAAATGGCTGTCCAGTCTCTTCCTAAAAACTTCCAGTGTTGGAGCATTCACCACTTCTGGAGGCAAGTTGTTCCACTGGTTAATTGTTCTAACTTCAGGAAGTTTCTCCTTAGTTCTAGGTTGCTTCTTTTCTTGATTAGTTTCCATTCGTTGCTTCTTGTCCTGCCATCAGGCGCCTTAGTAAATAGCTTGACTCCCTCTTCTTTGTGGCAGCCCCTGAGATATTGGAATACTGCTATCATGTCCCCCCTCGTCCTTCTCTTCATTAAACTAGACATACCCAATTCCAGCAGCCTTTCCTTATATGCTTTAGCCTCCAGTCCCCTAATCATCTTTGTTACTCTTCTCTGTACTCTTTCTAGAGTCTCAACTTCTTTTTTACATCGCGATGACCAAAACTGGATGCAGTATTCCAAGTGTGCCCTTACCAAGGCATTGTAAAGTGGTATTAATACTTCACGCGATCTTGATTCTATCCCTCTGTTAATGCAGCCCAGCACTGTGTTGGCCTTTTTGGCAGCTGCAGCACACTGCTGGCTCATATTTAAGTGATTGTCCACTAGGACTCCGAGATCCCTGTCACAGTTATTACTATTGAGCAAGGTATCCCCTATACTATACCTGTACATTTGGTTTTTCTTGCCTAAATGTAGAACCTTACTTTTTTCACCATTGAATTTCATTTTGTTAGATAGCGCCCAGTTGGTCAGATTACTTCTGTTCTCATGGAGGCATGGGCTTTTGACCCTCAACAAGCTCCTTCAACCTCTGCTGCTCCAAGTGCCTGGTCTCCAGAAGGGGAAACAAGTCAGTTCATATTTCCCATGGCAGAACAGGTGGAGATGGTTCCCCATTCCAGTGAGGGGCTTGGCCTTCATATCCCTACTCCGGGTACAGCTAGACCTCTGGGCCCAGAGGCCACACTCACTCCTACAGCGGCAGGGCTTCGCCCTCCAGAGGCTCAGGAGACAGAACTATCAGAATGAACGCAGCTTCTGATTTCTCAGGCTATTGCCCAAGGTGTAGCTTCAACTCAATACCAGAGAGCTCGACCTGAGTCGATAGCATCAGGCATCCCATCTCACAGCAATGTATCATATCTCTTCCAGGCGGAAGCAGCCACATACGAAGGTCCAGTTCCCCCCTCCAATTCTTCCCTGAGTAGGGGACGATGAACAAAGAGAGCAGGGGATGTCAGAAGATGAGGACTTATCTCCTGATCCCCTTCCTTTCATAGGCCTGTTTAATCCGGCCCTCTTTAAATCCTTACTTCACAAGGTCAGGAGCACTGCTCAACTTGGTCCTGAAGGTGTGCCTCTAGCTGAACCTTCCACCAGCCAGGGACCTACTAGTAAGGTCTTTTCAGAACCAACATTTACCCGACAGGGCATTCCCTGTCCTTTCTTTTTCCTCAATATAGTCCAAAGACAATGGGGAACGTCAGGTACTTTTCTATCCCCGGGCGGGACTGATAAAAAGTTATTTAATATGGCTCCAGCACTGTCAGAGGTGCTAGCAGTCCCCACTGTAGATGAGCTCTTAGCACCATTGGTTTCCTCCTTCACTGTGTCTGGAGATATAGCGGATGTTCTGAAGTCAGAGGATAAGAAAGTGGAGCTTAATTTCCGCAGGACTCACCAAGAATCTCACTCCTCTGGCTTCGCCAGTTGCAGGCTAGGAGCCCACCAGAAGAGGTACGGATGCACCAAGATTTAAACAAATTAGTGGTTGCATCAGAATACATGGCTGACTCATCATTGCACGCAGCCAGATTTTCTTCCCGGGCATTAGCATCTAATGTTACCTCTCGCAGACTTCTGTGGCTCAGACAGTGGCGAGCAGATGCTAGATCCAAGTGGCGGTTAGCCTCAGCCCCTTACATGGGAGGCCAGTTATTTGGAGAGGCACTAAACCCTTATTTGATTGAGAACAAGGATAAGCGTAAGGTCATGTCACATTTTATTAGGAGAGCAGACAGGAGAGTTACCCCTTATGCCTGAAAGCAGTCCTTTCGCTCAACCGACACAGGGTCGGAATTCACCCATAACTCCCGTCTGGTAACAGGGACAGACCCAGACAGCAATTTTAGGCCAAATGGCCTTTTCGAGGGGCGGGAGACTGTCCTTTCAGAAGGTCCAAGTGATACCAAAGGGGGTAGGTTGGCTCTCTTTGCACACAAATGGGAGAACACCACTACAGATCTCTGGGTCCTCAACACCAGATTCAGCCTGACTCTAGAGTTCAACTCCACCCCCCACCCCCCGAGGCATTTCGTCTCTTGCCCGTCATCCAAAAATCCAGTCAAAAGAACCCTCATGAAAGAGGCCATTCAACATCTCCCGGAGAACCGGTACCAACAGGGCAGAAGGGATGGGGGTTTTATTCCGTTCTGTTCATTGTTCCGAAGGCCTCGGGAGGATGGAGGGCAATCCTAGAATTAAAGAAATTAAATATCCATTTGGCATACAAGAAGTTCAAGATGCAAACGCTCCAATCCATATTAGCAGGCATCAGAAGGGGGGACCTCCTGACGTCCATCGACCTGACGGAGGCCTACCTACACATTCCCATCCTTCCCGGACATCGGAAATTCCTCAGGTTCTGCTACGCAGGCCACCATTTTCAGTACAGAGCTCTATCATTCGGCCTGTCATCAGCCCCCAGAGCATTTACAAAGGTCCTGGCGGCGCTGGCCACACATCTGAGGACCATTCCATTGCGTGTCCAGTGTTATCTGGATGACATCCTCATTCAATCCTCCTGAGTCCAATTGTTCATCAAGACCCTCCAGGACCACGGGTTTTCAGTAAATTTTCAGAAAAGCCAGATAGTTCCCTCCACCTGCCTCCTTCACCTAGGCATGGTGATAGATACAAGGAAGTGCGAGGTTTACCTGTCTCAGGAACGTCAGGACAGTATCCGATCCCTAGTCACCCAGATTCAAAGGGAACAAGTAGTCACCCTAGCAATTCTTTCTCAACTGCTAGGAAAGATGGTTTCTTGCATAGCAGTAGTTCCTTGAGCTCAGCTCCACTCCAGAACCCTCCAATGGTTCTTGCTGCCGTTCCAGAGACTAGGCACCAGTTCCTCCAACCACAAGGTACGGGTCCCATCACAGACCCTGAAATCCCTCCAGTGGTGGGTCTCCCCAGCGATGGCCAAGGGAACCTTATTCAAGGAGCCCAACCGGCTCATCCTAACATCAGATGCCAGCTTGTTCGGCTGGGGAGTGCACCTGCAATTCCAGTTGGCCCAGGTTCGGTGGTCCCAGACAGATCTGAAGCACAACATAAACTGGTTGGAGCTCAGAGCTATACATCTGGCTCTACGACACTTTTGCAACACAGTGGCAAGGCACCATGTTCTAGTCCTCATAGACAACGTGGCAGTGAAAGCCCATATCAGCAGGCAAAAGGGGTACCCACTCCAGGTCCCTCATGGCCGAGGCTCAATTATTAGGAACCTGGGCAGAGACCAACCTCTTGCCTTTCAAGGCAGAGCACATCTCAGGAGAGATGAACTGGCAAGCGGATTTCTTGAGCAGGGCCACAGTTGGCCACGCCACATGCTCCGGAGCCGCATGTGGCTCTTTGAGAGGCACTTGCCTTCCCCCCCCTCTCTCTGTGTGTATGTGTTTGTGTGTAAAAAAGAGGAGACTCACAATGTTCTCCGATGAGCTAAAAAGCTTACTGGGCGGAGCTCCTCTCTTTGCTGCCTTTCTGCAGGAAGCAGGAAACAGGAAAGGCAGGAGAGAGCTAGCTAACCCAGCTGTGTTGACTCAGAAATTCTGGGAGTTGAAGTCCATGAGTCATAAAAGAGTTGAGGTTGCCTACCCCTGAGCTTGTTGGAGAACAGCTTGAAGTCAGCTTGCCAGGTGAGCAGAAGATCGGAGAGAGAGGGAGAGGAGAGAGAAAGAGACAGACCCTTTTGACATCTAAAATTAAGCTAACACTGCATATATCCTTTTTTACCTTTATGATACACACACACACACGCACACACACACACACACACACACACACACACACACACACACACACCCCTACCTATAATAAAGGTAAAAAAGGATATATGCAGTGTTAGCTTAATTTTAGATATCAAAAGGGTTTTGTTTTTGGTGGAAAATGGGTCCAAGTGGCTCTTTGAGTGTTTTGGGTTGGCTACCCCTGGACTAGGCGCATCTTGGAATTGGCAGCACTCTCAATTAGAGATGACTTACGTATTTTTCATAACGACGGGGTTGTCCTACGCTTAGACCCCTTCTTCGTCTCCAAAATCAACTCATTGTTTCACAGGAGCTTGTACTGGCAGATTTTTGTCCTGACCCATTCCATGATTTGGAACGTAAATGGCATACCTTGCACATTTGTAGAGCCTTGCGTCGCTATACTAAGTGAACTGCCTCTTTTTGCAAATCTGAAGCTCTATTTGTTTCATTCCACCCCTCTTCAGTGGGTCAGAAGGTGACTGCCTCTACTATTGGCAGATGGATTAGGGCTTGCATAGTAGGGGTGTACCAGACGCACTCCTTGCCAATTCCAAGACGAATCACCGCACATTCCACTTGCGGTGTGGCAACTTCAGCGGCGAGTGCGACACAGGCGTCAATCGAAGAGATATGCAAGGCAGTGACATGGTCGTCTCCTTCCCCATTTGTGAGGCATTATAAGCCTCAGCAGACGCTTCATTTGGCAGGAGAGTTCTCCAAAGGATAGTAACAGATAGTGGGACACAGGCCCAGACTTCTTCCCACCCATAGGGACAGTGAGGCTTTGGTATGTCCCATCTGTGGATTCTCCATTCGTCATGCTGGAGAAGGGGCATTATCTTACCTGAACGCCTTTTCTCATCATGACGATGGAGAATCCACTCCCCCCCCCCTTAGATCCATCAGGTCCTGTGTCGGGGGAATTTGAGCCACCACCTTGTAAAATCATCAACTGCTGCGCCTTCATTGTGACTAGGGATTCCTAGCCAGAGGAAGAGAGGCGTGGCAAAGGTTGATTGACTTAGTCTCTAGGGCAGAAAGTCAAGATCAACCCATCTGTGGATTCTCCATCGTCATGCTGAGAAAAGGAGTTCAGGTAAGAGAACACCCCTTCTCCTTTCATTTCTCTTGGGAAGTTCCACATAAGTGTTTTGCATCAATTAATGATTAATTCTGAGTATGATTCCTCTCATGATATAATTTGTTCCTGAAGTTAGATCACTGTATTTCAGTTGCTGCTCAAATTTAGTGAAATTACAACAATGTTTGTATTTCCTTTACTGCAGTTTTCCAGGTCTTTTAGGTGATCCACAAATCCTTTGGCAAGAATTCTTGCCTTACCACTTTTTGTTCTGAGCTCAAGCAAACTTATATACTTTTACATATAACTTTTATATATAAAATAATTTTAGCATCCTATTCCTGAAATTTACATATCTCTTTAAATATACATTACTTAATATGTGTGTGCTTTCCCCTTAACAACCAGCCTATATAGCAACCATGAAAAGAGCAGTTAGTTGCAGAATTGCCAACAAGCTATCATTGCAACTTCAGAAAGACGCGTTTTTAATAAAAGAAAGGGATAATAGTATGGCATTTGGGAAGCCTTGGGGAGATTTCAGTATAGATTGGGGTAGGGAACCTTGGCTCTTATGACTTGTGGACTTCAATACCCAGAATTCCTGAACCAGCCATGCTGACTCAGGAATTATGGGAGTTGAAGTCCACAAGTCATAAAAGAACCAAGGTTCCCTACCTCTGGTATAGATTGTCCTCACTTAACAATGGCAGCTGGGACCAGAATTTCTATCACTAAGTTATATAGTTGTAAAGCACAATGTCACATGACTGTGCCACTTAGTGAGAGAAATTCTAACAATTCTTGTTTCTCTTAAGTGAATAACCACTGGTCATTAAAGGCGGACATGATGTGATCAATATTTGCAATTTCCTGCCAGCTCCCCCATTGACTTTGCGTGCAGCAGGCCAGCAAAGAAGATTGCAAATGATAATCATGTGATCACAGGACCCTGCAATGCGCCCAGACCATAATCACATGACTGCATATCACTGTATGGCTATAAGTACCATTCGTTTAGCACTTTTGTAAGTTTGAATGTTTGCTGGACAAGGAGTTGGTAAGCCAGGACCACCTGCATTTTTTTTTTTACATTTTTTTATAATGACTTTTCCCTCATGTAACTTCCCATTGTAGCAGCCTCCCAGATCTTACAAATGCACACAAATACAAAGGAACTTAGTTGTTGGAGTAGAGAAAATATTAGAGATGGGATGACATTAGAGGCTCTGATGTGGTACAGGTAGTCTTCAACTTACAACAGTTCATTTAGTGACCATTCAAAGTTACATTGGCACTGAAAAAGGCTTTGAATATACATTATCACACATAAGTGATTTACATGACTTACGACAATTTTTCACACATCCCCATGGTCATGTGATCAAAATTCAGACGCTTGGCAACTGATTCATATTTATGACGGTTGCAGTGTCCCGGGTCATGTGGTCACCTTTTGCAATCTTCTAACAAAGTCAGATTCACTTAACCATGTTATTAACTTAACAAGTGCAGTGATTTATTTAACAACTGTTGCAAGAAAGATCATAAAATAGAGTAAAGTTCACTTAACAACTGTCTCACTTGGCAAAAGAAATTTTGGGCTATCTTTTCTATTTTGTTTTGTTTTAGGTACCAAAGGGAGAAACAAAGGGGAATTTACAAACCTTCAGGGAGTAGCTGCATCTACAAATGGAAAAATATTAATTGCAGATAGCAATAACCAGTGTGTACAGGTACAATTTTTGGTTTGTTTCTCCATTAAAACTTTTTATTAAATGCACAGGACTCACAACATGTATTAAAAGAAATGTATATCTAAAGTACCAAAATTCTGTGGAATTAATAATTACGTTAAATTTGAAATATAGCTCAAGTTGGAGTTAATACATTAAATTCTGCTTAATCCCAAATGTTATTAGACTACTCCTGGCCGATATGTAGAATTACAATATACTCTTTTATACAGGTAGCCTTCAACTTCTGACTGGTTACTTAGCAATTGTTCAAAGTTATGATAGACCCATCAAAAGTTATTTACAACCTGGATTCGAAATTCTGATCTCCCCCCCCCCGCATCATATGACCTTATTTGGATGCTTAGCTGCCAGCTAACATTTACAGCCACATAACTGAAGTTACATTTTTTGCCAGAAACTGGCATTTACTTCTGGTTTCTGGAAAAAAATGCCTTTAAAAACAAAAAGAATTGCCAAGTTCGGAATATTTTGGAAGAGAAACAGCACAAATGTCTAAGGATCTCTGGTAAACTGGGGGTTGTTGACTCAAGGAAAATTGACATCTATCCTTTGTTGTAAGACCTTATTCAGAATATACATTTTTTCCCCCTGCATGAAAATGTGCACTGCTAATGTTTACCTTTTAAGCAACTGTCACTGATAGGGGAAAAACATGAATAAAGCTGTTCATGATAGGGATAAGTTATTGATAGGGAAAAACATGAACAAAGCTATAAGCCTAAATAATTTGAAATGCTATTTTTCCTGGTTATTTATTCACTTACTCAGGTCACTATACTTTGGGATACTAATCCCACAGCAAAAGAATATAAGATGGAGACCATGAGAATTTCCTGAAATTTGGCCATGGCACAGTTCTCACTGATCTAAAACGTTTGTAGGATTTTTTTTTTAGGTATATAATGAACATTTTATATTTAAACATATTACTTTAGTTTTGATGGCTGCCTTACCTGTCCGTAAGCTGGTTGTATATTGGGACTTTAATCCATCACACTAAATCAGTGCATGTCATGAATCCATAGGGCACTTCTGAAAGCCACTTGTAGTTAGTGCTATTTGCTTGTAGTTGTTTATAGTTCTCTCTTCTACTATAGCAGTGATCTTTAGAAGATATCTTGTTCACCAAGTAACTTCACAATTTTCTCTTCACTTATAGTTTTCAGCATCCCTCCTGAAGTCTTTGTCTTTAAATTATCTAAACATTTCAATAGCTCTGTATCACTTACTGAAAAACCAAAGGCTTGAATCTAGCATCTTCTAATAGATAACCAATTTACACAGTACTAGTATCTTCCAGCACATGTCCTTATAATAATAAACAATACGTATGTAATGGCCTAGGATTTCTTTTCGGGATGGATATAAATAGCCCAGTGCCATTAGTACTAGATTTGCAGTTGCTCCTTGCTAGATTAACACAAGTTACTGCACAGAATTAATTTTTAATTCAACCCACTCTTAGATCATTCATTATGTTTCCATCTAATCTACTTCATGGATTGTTATCTTTAGCTTTGTACAGGAAAGGTGGATATAATGTAATAAATATAACTTTCAACAAAATATAGTTGTGTTGCGTCTTGTTCTTTAATTCTCCCTCCTTCCCACATGAACATTATTCTGGATGTAGTGATCACTAAGTATGCTCCATCTTGGTTAGGTTGTTTTAGGGATTTGTGGTCCCGTTTGTACCTTTAAAAAGTTGTATTTCTACAAATTGTAGGTTATCTCCAAGCCCGGCAATATGTTGACAATCTAAGCAACAATATTTATAGCAGGCATGTCAAACTCGCAACGTCGTGTGACATCGCGTGACATATCAGAACTTTTTCCCCATTGCCAGCAATGGGATAGGCACGGTTTCGGCATGACATATCCAGCTCGCAGGCTGGCAGTTTAGCATGCCTGACTTATAGTCTAAGCATTAAAACCATGGAACATATTCATACACTTTGCATGAGCTTCCTCTTCTCTTTTCTTAAGGCAAATACACATATGTTTGGAGTATTTTTGTAATTCCAAATGGTAACAGGAAGCAGAATTCCATATGCATGTTAAAAGCATGTCAATGTTTCCTATATGTTTCAGTTGAATAATGAAAATAGTTGCATTTTACATGAAAGTTGCTATTGCTTTTTTCAAACAAATCATAGATATTTTCCACCGATGGCCAGTTCAAGAATCGTTTTGGTGTACGGGGAAGATCTCCTGGTCAGTTACAGCGGCCTACTGGAGTAGCTGTGCATCCTTGTGGTGATATCATTATTGCAGATTACGATAACAAATGGGTTAGCATATTCTCCTCTGATGGAAAATTTAAGGTAGGTTTAAAGTCAAAATGTAAAATACAAGGAAATTTATTTTCCTTTTTTTAAATTAATAATTAATGGCTGGTTAAAGCTGATAAAGAGATATAATTGGCAAAATGAGTATTCCTCTTGTATTGACAAGATGGCAATGAAGAGTGAAATTACAACTGTTTATTGTGGGACTAAGGGGCAAAATGAATCCAGTAATTGTCAGGGTCTGATGGTTGCTTTTCTTTTATTGTCTCTTGCATTAATTTCAGAACATACATATGCTGCTATGAATATTTAGTTTGTCTTTCCTAGCATTATGACATTGTCTAGATTTTTTTACATTATATAATAGTCACTATCTCTTAGCTCAACCTACCTCATAGGGATGGTTGTTGTGGGCAAAATAGGAGGAGAAAGGAATATTAGATATGGTTGCACCTTTAATTATTTGTAAAAGTAATAAAGGCAAGATAAAAAAAATCAATAAATGAATATGCTCTTCATTACTGATACTAATGAAGGAGAAACTGTCCTTCAATTCTGATGTCAATAATAAAGAGCTTTAAAAGTCAACACTGGTTTAGAAATCAATCAAAATCTAAAGAAAATGTTACTGTCTTGCAGAATTTTATATTCTTTATAAGTAGCTCTAGAGCAGTGATGGCGAACCTTTTAGAAACCTAGTGCCCAAAACCTGGCCCCGCCCCCACTGTCCCCCATGCCCTGCCCCACCTGCCCAAAGGACCATTCATCCCCTCCAGGGCCCACCATAGATCGCCCAGGCAGCCCAGAGCACTATGGCGACCACGCCCTCTGCCCACGCCCTGCAGCACCAACTGCATGATGGGGTGTGAGGGCAGAGTCTTGTCTACGCTGCCTGGCTGCCATGTCCTTGGCTGTGCTGCTCCGTGTGGGCCATGCTTGAGGGCAACTCTGCTTCAAGGGGGCTGCTGGGGAGGAGGGGGTCACGGGGAGGCAGGGCTGGGGCAACGACACATGTGCCCACAGAGAGGGCTCCGAGTGCTGCCTCTGGCACCGTGCCATAGGTTCGTCACCAGAATAATTCCCTGTCACATTCTGGACCTGCTGAAGTTTCTAGACTTTTTTCAAAGATTAAAAAAAGTATGCAAGGCTTTTTCATTTGGACTTGCATACAAAGTAAGTTTCTCAGGCACGTGTTCCTATGAGTAGATACATTTATTGAAATAACTACAGCAACACTATTATATGAACAAAGTTGGAAATTTCTGATTTTACTGACAATAGAGGAATGATGATGAAGATGGAATTTGTTGAGATGGCCAAATTACTTAGACATGAGACTTTGTCTAGATTTACTTAGACATGAGACTTTGTCTAGATGCTTAGAAACTCTTTATTGACTTATGTTATGATGTATAATTTTGAGAATTAGAATAAAAATAGTACATTACACAGAAAATGTAATAATAAAATAAAATAAATGTAACCTCTTTCTTTGCTTTCCTAGGCAAAAATTGGATCAGGAAAACTTATGGGGCCAAAAGGTGTTTCTGTGGATCGCAATGGACATATTATTGTAGTGGACAACAAAGCATGCTGTGTATTTATCTTCCAGCCAAATGGGAAAATAGTAACCCGATTTGGAAGCCGAGGCAATGGAGATAAACAGTTTGCAGGTAGCAATTGATGGTTGATACATAATACTCTTTTACGTTCTTCATATGGTTCAATGGTGTTGAAACTTACATAGAATAAAATGGAAAGATTCATTCAATTCTTAAAAATGTGGAACAATGAAACAAGAAAATAAATATAAATAATAATAATAGATAAAATAATATATTTTGTGATGTAATATATGTGCTTTAAATTAATCTTAAATTATTTGTAGCAGCCTATGTTTTTGGGCTGCTTTGCTTACCAGACTAAGATAAAGTTTTCAACCCTGTAAAAATCTTCCCAAAACAAAAGCAGGTTAGAATGGAGAGTGTAGCACCTTTGGCCCTGCTTATTAAAGATCTCCTACATTTCTTTAAGCAACACCATTTAACTACCTTCCCACCAACCATATTAATTCATTCAGATTACAGCAGTATCAAATAAATGAATTTCGCTGGTCTTGAGTAGAAAGGACCAGTTGGAGACTAGCCAGACCCACTATCCCATGGTCAAGGCTTTTCTCTAATGCTTTTTACTATGTCACTACTAATCATCATCAATGTACCTTGTAATTGGGACTGGAACCTTCAGATTTGCAAGGAAGTTTGTTTTATTGTTAAGTTCTACAAAGGGAGACATGATATTCCTCTTGAATTATTAAAACCTGTTTCTGGGCTATAGTCTACTCCCAGAATGGATGACATGAATTTAAAAGGTATAATAGTAGCTTGAAACTCAAGTACTTTGGCCACCTAGTGAGAAGGAAGGACTCACTGGAGAAGAGCCTAAGGCTGGGAAAGATTGAGGGCAATAGAAGAAAGGGACGACAGAGAATGAGGTGGCTGGATGGAGTCACTGAAGCAGTAGGCGTGAGCTTAAATGGACTCTAGAAGATGGTAGAGGACAGGAAGGCCTGGAGGAATGTTGTCCATGGGGTCTCGATGGGTCAAACATGATTTCGCAACTAACTAACAACAACAATAGTAGCTTTCCCAATCTGGTGAATTGTAATTGAAAACTGCAGATGTTTAGTAAGTATCCAAGAAATAAGTGTCTTCCATTTTGTTAGACATATATTGAATACATTTTAAAATCCTAATTATTTGGTGTACAAGTTAATATGAGATAGGTTACACAGTACAGTACAGTTTAATGCTTGCATTTTCTGCTTAATATATTCTTGTTGCTCATGCTATATATATAATGTTTAATCATCTGGGGAAATAAAACAGAGTTTTGTGCCTGGGATTTAAAAATCCCAGAAGTTTGAAATTAACTGAGTTTTACAAGACCATGTTTAATATTTATTTATTTACCAAATTTTGAGGCCATTCAATTCCTGTACAACTCTGCGAGATTTACCATTAAAAACCCAAACATACAAAAAGAACACAACTGTCCAAAATAAACATCAACCATAAATAGACCAAAACAAAGCCAAAACAGAATGTAGCTTGACAATCACCCTGTCCCCTAATAATTTTTTTTAATAATTTCCTAAAAAACTTAAAGATGAGAACCACATAGAGGACAGGTATTGCCATAGAGTAAGGTTACTTTATGAGTTCCGCATACCATTCTGCTGGACCACATTGGATGGGCAGAGACAACTGCAATAAATGGGCCCTCAAGATAGTCAGGCCCTGTATCATGAAACACTTTAGAGGTGATCATCTTTAGCATACATATTTGGAAGAAGCAATTCAAGCTAGTAGCCATATAGTCTGTAAATGTGTCTTGTAGTTTCCCGTGTTCTTATTTTTAGTGAGTTATAGCTACCTAATTCTAAATATATTGGCTTGATTTATAGGTATTGCACCTTCCTGCATTGTGGAGACACTCCTCTGAAGCCTGCGCTATCTTGAAAAATTAATTTTCATCAAGTTATTAAAAAAGAATTAAGCTATACATTAAGTAACCTAATATTCATGCAGTACTATTCATGACTATCATTATCTATGCTGCCTTTGATGATTTCAAAATTCAAAAAAAGGGAAGTAATTACAGTCTGTGGTTATATAGGAGGCATGGTATGTAGAGCCAGTACATGCCAGCAACCGGCCCGCACAAACAAATCCCCATCCCCGGGATGCAGGCAGAACATAAAACCACGCCCCTTCCGATCCACGGAAAAACCTCTCTCCAAGGAACTGGTCCCTGGTGTCCAAAAGGTTGGAGATCTCTGATGTAGAGCATCCTTGGAAGATAAATCAGTATTACAAAAAAAAAAAAAAAAAAAGAAATTCCAATGTTCCTCTTCTGATCTATTAACAGCATCAGATATAAACTTATGAATTAATACTACTAACTACAAGAAGACCTTACAGCTGAAAAAATACTTCCTAGAACCCAATCTGAAGTACAGCTGAACAACTAATTTCATAATCTGTACAGAGAAATAAGAGAGTTATAGCATATCCCATCACACAGAAGTCAAATTTTGTAAGCAACATCTCAAAGTCTCGACTAAACTGATTGTTTATACCAGAATATAAATTTATGTAGCAAAAGTTATCTGCTTCATATATCTGAATTTTCCTCAGATTCATGGAAATTCCAGAGACTGAGGGAGACAATGGTGGTCTCATGTTCTTACTAGCTTTTGAAACACAGAATTCAGTTAAGTTCTGCCTTTGATTTTAAAGCAAGTTGGCTCAACAATATAATAGTAATAATTCATGTAGTACTATTATTACCACTTTGACAGTATGGACCCCTGGGGACCCCTGGACAAGTCCCTGCATTTTTCTTGCCAAAATTTCAGCAGTGGTGTCTCATTGCCTACTTCCTAAGACTGACTGAAAGAGAATGACTGACTCAAGTTCATCTAGCTGGCTTTCATGGATAAGTTGGGACTAGAACTCACAGTCTCCTGGTTTCTCTCCTGATGCCTTAACACCACACCAAACTGGTTCTATTACTAATACCACTATTTTGTCAAAATAGATAAAAACTTTAGTCTAAGATTAATCTGTCAGATGAGAATGATGTGTTTTTGGGGTTTAGATTTTTTTCTGGTTCTAAGAAGATCGTTCCTACATCACCTCATCTTTCTCTATTATACTGCTTTTTATTTACCTTCCCATATTTATTTACAGGCCCTCATTTTGCAGCTGTCAACCACAATAATGAAATTATTATTACTGATTTCCACAATCATTCTGTCAAGGTATGATGCTACTAGTTCTTTGAACTTTTGTATTCATTCATTTTTTATAGTCTCAAACTGATAAAGAACTTTTTATAAAAAACTGTTAACAAGAACAAAAGCAAAAATGGATACACCAGTTTTAATCAAATTTGCAGATTATGTTAAAATACTAGAGTAATTAGTACATATTAAGTAACCAATTTTTTAACTTTAAAGGATGATGTGGTTGATACGTTGTTTTTGTTTAGTAATGATAATATATTATTTGTTTTAGCTCCAAGAAATAAAATGAATGTTCCTTAGATTCGTTTTGCAAAATTATTGTAAATTATTGTAAATTATTAATAAATACAATAAATAAAGAGCCGAGGTGGCGCAGCAGTTAGAGTGCAGTACTGCAGGCCACTTTAGCTGACTGTGTTCAGCAGGTCAGCGGTTCAAATCTCACCGGCTCAAGGTTGACTCAGCCTTCCATCCTTCCGGGGTAGGTAAAATGAGGACCCAGATTGTTGGGGGCAATGTAAATATATATATACATTGCTTACTGTGTACACCACTTAGAGAGTGCTTGCACTTAAAGCGGTATATAAGTCTCATAAATAAAATAAATAAAATATTTATTCTTGCTTAAGCTTACATTTGAATTATATTTATATAATTGTAATGTATTATTTGTACACCATTTAGGATCACCCTGTGAGGGAGATAGGCAATTTCTAGATGTGATAGGTAGGTAGGTAGGTAGGTAGGTAGTTAGTTAGTTAGTTAGATAGATAGATAGATAGATAGATAGATAGATAGATAGATAGATAGATAGATAGATAGATAGATAGATAGAATTCTGATGTATTATTTTTGATTTGAATGTTTAGAGAGCATAGCTCAATTAAGATGACCCTTAGATGCCTAAACCATAACGGAGATTCAGTATCTTTTTGTTTTCCTTCTGCATCCCTCTCTCCTTTTTTTCTGTTACTTTTCTGAGGATGCTTCTAAACAGAACAGTGAAATATAGCACTCTTAATATAACTATAATTGTAAGAAACATGAAGATTAGTTGAAGTTGTACTACAGGAGAAGGCTACTATCGAGCACCATTAAGCTATATAATGTTATTTGAAAATAAATAACTACTGAAGAATCTAAGCGATTCTTCATTGTCTTCAAAAATTGGGTAGGAAATAATTGTTTTTTGTTTGGATTAAAAGGAAGACATTGAATTAACAAGAATAGACATTGAACAGGTTGCTAGCATACTGGCTCAGCTGGAGAGCAATGTTGTTGACAACTGCATAATGTTAGAATCAGCAGTTGTTCAGTTGTGCAGGATTTCCTAATTTGAGAGGAATGGTTGGGTATATGGCCAGATTCCAACACAAGACAAAATAAAGAAAGGTAGATAATTGTTTGAAAAATCGGAATGTACTGCTGTCAGTTAACAATTAGAAGAATCTTCTAATTAAGTTTGTTTGTAGCTCTATCACATTTCAACTTCTCTGTGGCCTTATACCAATGCTTTTTAGTGTGTTACCAAGTGTGCCAATAATCATGCTACTAGTTTATGCCATAATCTTTTAACTTAGCTTTTCAGATCTTGACAGTTTGTAATCTTCTCCAGATCTTTGTTTTCTATTATCCCCTGGTTTTGCCACATCAATTATACATATTTTTTTTTAACCGCAATTAAATCTAGTCTGTTATGTTCAAGAAATCCCACAATATTTTAACTTATTCAGTTTCAATTACTTTTTCAGTTATATGTTCCCACTAATTTTTCATCACTGGCTCATGATAATTTTCACAGATGTTCCAGTAAATAACTTGGGCTACTGTGTTAATGCCATTGTTTATAATCAGCTTGTGTGATCTTTGTACAAGCTGAATACAGTGAGGGAAAAAAGTATTTAATCCCCTGCTGATTTTGTACGTTTGCCCACTGACGACAGAATTTTAATGGTAGGGGGTTTTTTAACAGTGAGAGACAGAATAACAACAAAAAATCCAGGAAAAAGCATTTCAAAAAAGTTATAAATTGATTTGCATTTTAATGAGTGAAATAAGTATTTGATCTCCTATCAATCAGCAAGATTTCTGGCTCCCAGGTGTTTTTTATGCAGATAACGAGCTGAGATTAGCAGCACTCTCTTAAAGGGAATGCTCCTAATCTCAGTTTGTTACCTGTATAAAAGACACTTGTCCACAGAAGCAATCATTCAATCAGATTCCAAAGTCTCCACCATGGGAAGACCAAAAAGCTGTCCAAGGATGTCAGGGACAAGATTGTAGACCTACACAAGGCTGGAATCGGCTATAAGACTTCGTCAAGCAGCTTGGTGAGAAGGTGACAACAGTTGGTGCAATTATTCGCAAATGGAAGAAACACAAAATAACTGTCAATCTCCCTTGGTCTGGGGCTCCATGCAAGATCTCACCTCGTGGAGTTTTGATGATCATGAGAACGGTGAGGAATCAGTCCAATACTACACGGGAGGATCTTGTCAATGATCTCAAGGCAGCTGGGACCATAGTCACCAAGAAAACTATTGGTAACACACTATGCCGTGAAAGACTGAAATCCTGCAGCGCCCCTAAGGTCCCCCTGCTCAAGAAAGCACATGTATAGGCCCATCTGAAGTTTGCCAATGAACATCTGAATGATTCAAAGGAGAACTGGGTGAATGTGTTGTGATCAGATGAGACCAAAATCAAGTTCTTTGTCATCAACTCAACTCGCCGTGTTAGGAGGAGGAGACTGTGACCCCAAGAACAACATGCCCACCATCAAACATGGCAGTGGAAACATTGTGGTTTGGGGGCATTTTTCTGCTAAGGGGATAGGACAACTTCACTGCATCAAAGGGACGATGGACGAGGCCATGTACCGTCAAATCTTGGGTGAGAACCTCCTTCCCTCAGCCAGGGCATTGAAAATGGGTGGTGGATGGGTATTCCAGCACAGCCAAGGCGACACAGGAGTGGCTCAAGAAGAAGCATATTAGGGTCCTGGAGTGGCCTAGCCATAGAAAATCTGTGGAGGGAGCTGAAGGTTCAAGCTGCCAAATGTCAGCCTCAAAACCTTAATGACTTGAAGAGGATCTGCAAAGAGGAGTGGGACAAAATCTCTCCTGAGATGTGTGCAAACCTGGTGGCCAACTACAAGAAACGTCTGACCTCTGTGATTGCCAACAAGGGTTTTGCCACCAAGTACTAAGTCATGTTTTGCAAAGGGGTCAAATACTTATTTCACTCATTAAAATGCAAATCAATTTATAATTTTTTTTGAAATGTGTTGTTGTTATTCTGTCTCTTACTGTTAAAATAAACCTACCATTAAAATTAGACTGATCATTTCTTTGTCAGTGGGCAAATTACAAAATCAGTAGAAGATCAAATACTTTTTTCCCTCACTGTATATGTTTTTCTGCTTCTTTGCACAATATGCAGTTTGAATCATTTTATAATCTTTAATTCTGGCATTGATTTCATAAGTTTGAATTTGTTTGAGTTGCAGTAAGCCTCTGTTTCCATTCCTGTGGGGCAGGTATAACCAATCAATATGTCAGATGGGAATGAGATCCATATGTGAAAAGTTCAATTAACTACTTTATTTCTCATGCCTATTTCACATGAATCTTCCCAGACTTGCAGTTTGTACCTGGGCCAGATTAGATAAGGTTCAATGGCATTTAAGTGGGTAGGAGGTTGGACTTTTCTCTCTTGTGCCTACATAATGATTCCAGGCTAATTCCCTGCTTGAGTCCTTCCCCCTGGCTCAGCCATCTTTCTCTGACACAATATCACTACAGAGATATAAAGCATAGTGAATATTCATAAATATTCTAGTTTTTTAAGGCCAAACTGTTTGTGTCCAGTTAATAATTATTGTTCCATTGTTTAAAAACAATTTATCAAATCCTTCCCAAGGAGATGGGATAAGCAGATGTTGCTTGATGATACTAAAAGTATCATCATAGGTTGAAAGTTGCTCCAAGTAAAGCTGCCTTTGCAATTGACTGATGATAATTTTATCAGTACAATGGCCAACGTTTTTATTATTATTAATATTTTTGAAAACTCATTCATGCAAAGTTACTATAGTTTTTCCCTCTACAGATAATTTAGATAAAGCTTTTTAAGTGTTGTGTTTAAATGTCATGCAGGTATTCAACCAGGAAGGTGAATTCTTGCTGAAGTTTGGATCTAATGGAGAAGGAAATGGACAGTTCAATGCTCCAACAGGAGTTGCTGTAGATTCTAATGGGAATATTATTGTAGCAGATTGGGGAAATAGTCGGATACAGGTAAATAATATTTTCCTGTCAACTTAATAAGCTTAATATGACATGCTTGTGATGAGTGAAAATTCTTTTCAAGTGTCTAGGGTGAAACAACGTTAGGTGTATCATTTTTGTTATCAAGAAAGCCACTGAAATCTATAAAATAACTGTGGTCTTTCTGCTGAAATATTCTCTTTCTCCCCCCTCCCCCCACATTTCAGATATGTGGCTCTCTGTGGTTTACGAAGAATTAAAAACAATTTATAAACACCAAAACCATACAACAAAAGAAAAATAAAATATAATAAAATTCAAGTAGTCACATCCATCAGTAACAATTGATACAGCTACTGCACAGGCTCTACTACACGCCCAGGTCCCCACACCTATTGGCAAAAACCACATTTTCAAGGCCCTGTGAAAAGCCAGCAGAATTGAGGCCTATATGATTTCCAAGGAGATAATATATGCACATTAGCTACAGCATATAAAATTAGATATTGTTCTTTGACTGACCATATTATTTTAATCTAATTCACAGGTTTTTGATGGAAGTGGATCCTTTTTATCTTACATAAATACATCTGCTGATCCACTTTATGGCCCTCAAGGTTTGGCTCTTACTTCGGATGGTCATGTTGTAGTTGCAGACTCTGGGAATCACTGCTTCAAAGTCTACAGATATTTACAGTAATAGTTGGAATTGGATCTTGTTTAAAAATTACTAGCTGCTGCTAGAGGCCAGTGTAGATAATATTCTGCTTCCTAATATTTCTTCTGTTTCCTAAATATTTAAAATTTAAAACTGCAGGATCTTCAGTATGTTCATTCCTTTATTTTATTCTAGACCTACTTTGTTTACATAGAACTTGCATAGAATTTATATGCTCTGCACTGAATTTATCACAAGGATTAATAAATGAGACCCTATTTCACCCTATACCCCTCTAATTAAAAACCTCACAAAGCCTATATGTATGTAATTGGATGTACACATGAAATAGGGAATGGACTCAAGAAGGTACTTGATTCAGAAGAATTTATTTCAGTATGAATGGGAGAAGTTGTTTAAATTTTCATACTTGAAAATTCTTACTAGTAATAATATTCGTTCCAGCAGGATGTCTGGGAATCTTCTAGATCACATTGTTATTGTAGGCATTTTACTTATATAACATTATTCAGATTTACTTAGTAAGTAGTTTATTTTAGTTAAAAAAATGTGAGTAATTCTTTCTGTGTTAATTGGCAGACCTAACAACTTAATTTTTAGCATTATAAGAATAAACATGTTTTCTGTGGTGCGTGGATCGATGTACATATCTAGCAACTTTTTTACTATTCAATATATTGTCGAGATTTTCTTGAAACCTGAAACTTTACTTTGGAAATGTAGGATAATGTAACTACTGATATTTCATAGAATCAAGTTCCAATTAACATCAGGCTAATTCATTAAAAATTGATACCAGTTTAGCTAATTTGACAATTGATATTTATACTTCATATATGTCCCTACAGTGGTTATGAAAAAAGTCAGTTTTATTCAGTTGCTTGTTTTTGCACAGGAAAACAAGTCTTACGTATATCCTATTAGAAGTCTTGTATAACCAAAGGAAGTTTGGGTAGGTGACAGATTTTGAGGTGGAAGTTGAGAGTTACCAAAGCAGGGTATGTTTTTTTTTTTAATTTCAAAAATTTTATTGTCTCTTATAACTATATATAAATGGGGGATATTGAAGATACTTAATTAGTGTGAGGCAACATTGAGTTTCCAAAAAAAGCTCATAATTTTCTTCATTACAAATGTGGATACTGTAAACATTTAAAAAAAACCCAATTTTAACTAGGCAATTTTGATGTACATGCTTTCTTGGTGTCCTTTCTTGAAATCTGAAGTTTTAGTTTTAGTGAAAGTTTCTTCTCTTATGCCTGCTTCTTGGTACAGGTCTTGTGATTTCCCTTAATTGGGTTTTACATCAGAGTACAAACTATGTTTCATTTTTATTTCCAACAGCAACATAATTTTGAATAACATTGTATAATGTTTAGACCAAGTAAGAATAAAACTGCAATCAACAGCAAATGATGTTTGGCACCAACTTTATGCAACCATGCACTTCTTAGAGTATTGTCAACATCTGAAATAATATTGCATTTTCTATTTCAATCATGGTGTTCTCTAAATATTTTTCAGTTGAACTATTGGAATTTTACCCAAAATACTGAAATAACAGACCTAATTGGAAGAACATAAAATAAATTATGTAGTTAATACTGCTGCTAGTTAATTGCCTATGTTTTGGAATATAATACTATTAAATTGAAAAGAAAGAAAATGATTCAGTCCTTTTCTAAACTAATGATAAATATTGTTTTAATACTTAGCTAATAATTTCAAATGATGTTAGAAAACAATTGTCTTAAAAAGAATATGCCAAGAATCTAATTTAAGAGTTCCTGGATAGACAAAGAAATGTCTGCAAAGGCAATACACATTAGACATTATTTGTCCTAAACACTGAACCAATTTGAAAACTGTTTGAATTGTAAGGGGGAACTGGATTTCCTATTCATGATTTTGTCAATATTTATTAAACCTATAAACAGTAACATTGTAATTGTTACTGAGTTTCTGGTATAAAATGGCATTTACAAATTTTTCCAAATGTTATTGTTACAGACTTGATTCAAGGCACATTGTCATACCAATCTGGCTTAAAGTTTGAGATGCTAAACTTTTGTAAAGATTTGTAAAGTCATGTGATCAGTACAAATATTTGCTTGATTTTTTAAAACGGATACCAAGCCAAATCCTATAGTAACCTAAATGGAAATATTTCTAGTAAAAATCTGGGATATTTATATTCATTTTAATGAAACTTACTGTAGTTCCCAGTTTATTATATAAAGGATAGAATAGAGGCTAAATTGTCCTAAATTGATACATATATAGTATTTGATGCATGCAGGCATGTCCATGCATTCCTTAAAACACTTTCCTAAAATAGTTCCCGAGTTCTAATAAAACTTAACTTAGTAATGCTTTTATTCAAATTTGAATTATTGCTTCTTTCCTTTGCAACTAAGCTATCATTTTAAGGCAATGTGGCCTTTCCTTTGATATTTTTTTGATTATGCATGTTACTGTAAATTGACTGCTGCTAGAGATCTGTTGAATACTTCTCTTGATCTTAGCTAAAAGGTGAAGAAGTGAAGAGGCCTGCTGAATTCTAGATTCTTACTAGAAGTTGAAAGTATAGAATCATTAGACCGCTGAAATAAGGTTAGGTGAGTCTACTCTGTCACTGAGTATTTGAAAAATGCCTAGTCAAAATTGGATTGTTTCTTGTTCATCAATTTTCCAAAGCTCACTAGTAAAGCATTTATGTCCTGTAGGCAGTAACTGATTAGATATTACTGTAAAACTTGCAATATTGCAGAACTGCATGTACAAGAAACCAATTTGGATCCAGATAAACATTTTTCAGAATGTAGGCATTTATTCTTCTAAATTAATATTCAAGCGTAGTATGTGTAGATTCAGTCCAAATCTGTGACTCTGCCAAACTACAGTTACTTTTTAAGGTATATCTGCACTGCAAATGTGAACTGAGTTAACAGACTCTGGGAGGCTGAATTGTTTTAGTTTATATTTGCAGAACAGACATCCCTCTTGTATCAAGTTGTGCTTATAGCTGCAGTAATGAGCAATGCATATGGGTTTATTCCATGTAAACACTTGCTTGATACAAGTTTTTTTTTAATGTTAATTAATTTTTGGATAAACTTGCAAAGTGTATATTGAAAGATTTTTAACTGTAAAAAGCTGTTAAAATTAGTTAAGTTTTTACACTGATTTAAAGTTTCAGCAATGTTATGAGAAAATGTTCTCCATTATTGTTGACCTTTGTAAACATTACAGGGCTTTCAACTTTACAGCTACTTTTTCTTTGATATAACTGAGGATTTAGCATTGCCATATGAAAAAAGTGCCCATTAAGTTTTGCCTGTTGTGTGAAGAAATGATAGCAAAGAACAAAATGATGCTATCCATTGAAAATGCTGTTAAACTGTGAGCAGTGATTAAAAACGTGTCCTGAAGAATGTATGAAAGGTACTCTTTTTTCTGACAGTGTAGAATGATTCCTAATTGTTGATAGCTCCTAATGAATATACAGCATTGCAATGGATGTGTGCACAGCCTTAACCTTAAAAGCTTGCTTTTTTTCCCTTTATGACATGGGAATGATACATGATAAGTAGCATATACTCTTATATCCCAGTGCTTGTAATTGAACTGTTTCACACATTGTGTTCTTCGGGTTCTTAAAATAAATTATAATTTGTTGCTTTGTACATTCCAGCTTTGTATGTCAGTTTCATCCCTATTTCATTTTTAGGTACATAAAGATATTAAGCCTCATGTTCTGTGGAAATAATACTGAAATTGTAAAACTTCTTTTATTTGTTATGCTCCCTCATAGTTTTAATAGATGTATAATCTCTGTCTTGTTAAGGCTGAGGATGAAAGCTGTTAACTGAAGAATGTCTGTATGTAGATTTAACTTCATGTGTGCCATGGTATTTTTTATGGTTTATCCCAGGGGTAGTCAACCTTGGCTCTTTTATGACTCGTGGACTTCAACTCCCAGAATTCCTGAGCCAGCACAGCTGGCTCAGGAATTCTGGGAGTTGAAGTCCACGAGTCATAAAAGAGCCAAGGTTGACTACCCCTGGTTTATCCTACAAAGAGAGCTTAAAAAACCCTTTTACCTTATTTGGAACACTAAGAAAAACAAAATCAAATGTGTTATCTTTTATCATGCACAACCCTCCCTCAAATAAAACTGAATGAAAGTTGTTTTGTGTTATTTTTCAGAATTGAAAATGGTTGGGTTGCTACATTCTCCTTGTGTATCTTTATTGCTCATTTTCATTTTTAACAGGGAAGATGTCAAGAAGTCTTGGCTGTTTCCTTAGGCATTTGGGCCAGAATTTTATGAAAGTCCGCTAGGTTTGGAGCCATTTAGGTTGAGCATAAACAATGGGAGAAAAGTGGGCCTGCAGATAGCCTGGCCTATGCCATGCTGTCTGTCCCTCTGTAATTAATACAGAGTACTGTCTAATTCAAAGTATTATGGATAAAACATGCTATCTTATGATTTTTTTAATGTGGTAAATGAAATGAGTAGAACCAAAATCAGTCCTTGTTTGTTATTCAAGGAAACCTTTTTTTTAGAATTTTGAAAATAATTCAGTGTGCAACATCTGATCTCTGCAGTGTAAAATCCCCCTGCAGATATTGAAGCAAGTTGGATTGGAGAGAAAATAGTCAAACTATTGCTGACATCAGCCCTACAAGGTAGACCAGACAAGAAACAGAAACTTGAGACCTCTCAAAACTATGAGACCTTGGGCTGGAAGGTAAAGGACCAGAGAGTGCAGTAACAATTTGTTAACTCTTCCAGTGGATCAGTGGCTAATCCCTGAAGGATTTGGCTCCCTTGACCAGGGACAGTGTGATTTAATGAAGGATTCCTGGCAAGATACAGGCTACATTTCACAAAGACTGGAAAATAGTCCATATGTGCCTCACCAGAAAGGCATTTAATTAGAGAAAATAGGAAACCAAATAAACTGTCAAGAAGTGAAACCAATAACACAGAAAAATGTAGTATGAAAATAGATAGGGAATTTAGAGATTGGCAGGAAACTGCAAAAATAACTATTAGGGATATCACTTCAGTTCTCAATATATTACAATGCAAAAATGCAGGGTATGGAAAATGGGGAGAATGTGAAAAGTTAAACTCACATAGGATTAAGTACAAATTCTTCAAGGAAAAGACTTAATGGAAAAGGAAGGGGTGCGGTAACTTAAAAAAATCATATAAATCGAAGAATCAGATCATGAAAATCCCATCGACAATATCTGCAAAAATTAAAGGAGAAAGTGTCTAACTTTGTATTGTTAGAATTTATTATAAGAGCCCGGAGAATCAAAAGGATATTAGTAAGAACTCTCTGTCAGATTGCCAAACTTTCAAAGAGGCATGCACTAGCAAGGAAATTTCAACTGCTCTACCACCTTCTGGAAAGATTTGCTGGATTCAGAAGTAAAAAAATTCTAACGGGAACAAATTGGTTGAAAAAAATGAAGATATTATTGGAATCTTGTGGAGAAAAGGTAATCATGTTATCTTTGAGTTCATGCCAAGGGCCATAAAAAGTAATCAGATTTGTATACTGGGATATTTTGATGCAATCTGTGGAAATATAGGGTGGATTCAGTGCCTTTAAGTCAAGAGGCAGAGCAGAGAATCCCAATTCCTACTTAGGAGAAAAGAAAAGATATTTAAAGATATGAGAGATATACATAGTTTATATAAAATGGTAAAAAGAAAATGGGTTGTATGTAGCAAATGAAAGTAGGAGTATGTAACCAAACAAAAATAAGTATGGTGTTAGAAAGACAAACATAGGTCAAAACATGCAATAATGCCTCTATAAACACCAATAAAGTAAAATGAAACCCTGGCTAGCTATCATTATGCCTCTGGGAAAAGGAGAGCTGCAGTTTTAAGACAGGCAAGAAAGAAGCATTTAGCTCAGAGATGTCAAACTGCTAGCCCACGGGCCAGTTTCATCATACCGAAGCCGCACCCACCCCATTACTGGCAATGCAAAAAGTCGCAATACGTCGCGACACGTCACATGACATGGCGAGTTTGGCACCCATGATTTACCTAATGTAAATGAGGCTAATGCTCCAGCATCAGATGCATTACATTAAGGCTATTGGGGCGACTAGTCGAAGTGTTTCATTGATCCTTTCTTATTAGTAAAATCCTAATATATAAGTAGGTAATTGAAAGTTTACCTTGATTCATAATTAGCTAAATGACTACTAGAAAATATTGCTAATGATTCCACTTAAGCTTGGAAAGTACTATATATAGGTAGCCCTCGACTTACAACAGTTCATTTAGTGGCCATTCAAAGTTACAATGGCACTGAAAAATGTGACGTAAGATCATTTTTCACACTTAGAACCATTGCAGCATTCCCATGGTTACATGATCAAAATTCAGATGCTTATCAATTAGTTCAAATTTATGACAATTGCAGTGTCCTGGGGTCATGTGAACAGTTTTTCAACCTTCTGACAAGCAAAATCAATGGGGAAGCCAGATTCACTTAACAACTGTGTTACTAACTTAACTGGAATGATTCACTTAACAAGGTCATAAAATGGGGCAAAACTCACTTAACAAATGTTTCGCTTAGCAACATAAATATTGGGCTCAATTGTGGTCATAGCCCGAGGACTATCTGTAATGGAGTGCCAAAGGACTGTTCTGACTTCTGTTATTGAACATTTTGTGAGTTATTCAACATTTTGTATGTTATTCAATATTTTGTTAATGAGATAATTATTAAAGTTGAAAGAGGCAGAAAAATGAGGAACGCTTAATACTAGAAGGAAAAGAATGTTTAAAAAGATTTATACAGACTTGAATGTGAGCTGAAATGGATGAAATGTAAACTATTTCAGAATAAAAAAAATGAAAAGCACAAGATAACAGATCTGACTTGATGGCAGCATATGTGGAAAAGATGTGTGTGCTTTAATGCATCATAAGTTGATGAGGAGCCAATTGTGTGGTGGCTACTGAAAAAATCAAATGCAACTTTGGGATATATAAAGGAGCATAAAGTCCAGGTCACAGGAAATAATTGTCCCTCTTTGCTCTGATCAGTTCTGGGAATTTCAATCTAAAAAGAACATCATCAAACTGGCTGCCAAGATAGTGAAAGGACTGAAAAAGAAAAGGTGCTGGACCCTTCAGTAAATATTAGCAGACTTAGCCAAAGCAATATTTTGAAATGCACAATAGAATTAGGTAGAAGCCATTATAAAAGCAAAGTTGCACAAAACAAAGTACTGGCAGGGAAGGGAATGAGCATTAAGGAACATACAATAGTAAGAAACAAGTTCTGTTTGTCCTAAGAGAAAACCAGTATAACTATGTACAATCAATGGAAAGGCCTTTTCCTAAATCAAACACTGTTTGTTCCCAATAAGGTATGCAGAAAAAGACGATGCAGCCTGTATAAACTAGTTGCTTCATAAACTTTTGTCTTCTCTAAGAATATTCTGTAGCTACACTAAGAATTATATAATACATATATGAAGGAAGTTTATATAAACAAAATGAAAGAAGTTTCTCCTAGAGTTCTGGCTCTCAAGCAAGATGCTGGGATTGATGGATGGCCACTGAATTAACAAGAGACACCACTGCTGTTTTCAGCAGATTTTCGCCTTAGTGTTTTGCTCAGAGATTCCAGTATCTCAGGGGCATGCTTGGCTTGTTAGGGAGAAAACCAAGCTCAGCAGAGGTCTAGCATTGAGTAAGTTTAGCCAGGAAGGAAAAAGATGTGTTAGTGGATTTCAAGTATATAATAGAAACTGGACCTGTTCTCTCTTACTCTGAAAGACAGAACCAGTGAGTTTACAGATAAGTAGACTGAGGTTAGCCATTTGGAGGAATTTGCTGATGGTAGGAATTGTTAAACTGTTCAATAAAGTATGCTTCCTTTCATTGAATGTATTCAAATAGTCTTGTAAATCCTGTTTATTGTGTATGTGTGTATTTTATTACAGCTCTATGATACACTAATGATAATAAGTTGGAAGGGACCTTGGAGGTCATCTAGTCCAGCCCCCTGCTCAGGCAGGAAACCCTATACCATTTCAGACAAATGGCTGTCCAGTCTCTTCTTAAAAACTTCCAGGGTTGGAGCATTCACCGCTTCTGGAGGCAGGTTGTTCCAGTGATTAATTGTTCTAACTGTCAGAAAATTTCCCCTTAGTTCTAGGTTGCTTCTCTCTTTCCATCCATTGCTTCTTGTCCTGCCTTCAGGTGCTTTGGAGAATAGCTTGACTCCCTCTTCTTTGTGGCAACTCTTGAGATATTGGAACACTGCTATCATGTCATTCCTCACCCTTCTCTTTATTAGACTAGACATACACAATTCCAGCAACTGTTCCTTATATGTTTTAGCCTCCAGTCCCCTGATCATCTTTGTTGCTCTTCTCTGTACAATTCTCTGTAAAACAGCGTAGTGGCCTAGTGGTGAAGATGCTTGCCTCCCATTCAGAAGGTTGAGAATTCAATCCTAGGTAACAGCAGACGTTTCTCTCCTAGGGCGCAAAGAAAAAAAAATCTGCTGCAAACTCCATAGGCATCAAAACGGGCATCTGGCCAGTAAATGCTCAGCTCCATCCTGTCGCCCCAAATAAGGACTACAAGGTCACAAAAAAGGAGTTTCTGCGATACACTGTAGGTTTAAGTTACCTCTATATCAAAAACTGAGCAAGAATCAGTTAAGTGATCTGTAATGTACGCTGCTGCCCTGATTTGCCAGTCTATCAAATAGGAAGAAGTTACATCCTTCATCTTAAACAATTTTCTAATAATATTTCTAGATTGTAATGAAACAATAAGCACACATAGAGTTATTTAACCCATCACAGTAATAGAGGAATATAAAAATTGTGTCAATAAGTGAGTGGATGGAGGTGAACCTGTCAATATTATACTGTATACTTGGGTTTTCAAAACACTTTTTACCAAGTTTTCTTTTGGAGCTTTTGCTAAAATTGTTCATTAATGTTTCTTCAAAAAATGTAGAGTTCATGGGAACTACTTAATTCCCTACCTCACCCCAAAGAATAGAAATGAATGAACAATTATAAGAAGTAGAGACTATCAAGGATGAGTTTGGACTCAGCTTTTAAGCTTGTTCATAAATGAAATTGAATTGAGGATAAGAATGAACTGGCCAACTTTAAGGATGACATCAAGTATTCACCGTGGTGAAACCAAAATTGTGAAAAGCTTTAGAAGAATCTCTTTAAATTACAGTGTTCTTACAAAGCAAAACAGCGATGGTGCTAAGTGAAGATGTAACGTTTTTCAAAGCAGGTGTTATTTCAATTGTTAGAAATGGATAACAAAGCATGCTATATAATTGCAAACACCACAGGTAGGGGAATCCACATGGTTAGAGTGATCACTCTTAATAAGTGTAACTATCATTCTGAAATTTTCCCTTCCATAGTTTAGATAACTTTTATCTTGTTTAATATTCGGAGTTTTTTCAGTTCTATATTTTTAATAAACTGATTAGGAACACCTGAAAGTAAAAGTACTACGAAAGAGAAACATTATTTCTGATTTTAGTTTTAATATTCCTGTCCGTATTTTGGGAAAAAATATTTTGATTAGGGCCGATTTGTAGGAATTAAATACGTAAACCATGCACTAATATTCCAAAAACAGTATCCTCCGTACTCTACTCCAGGTAAGAAATTAAATACATAAAGAAATAACGCGCTGTTACGTATTAGAATACTTGGAAGAAGCATTGAGAAGTATTACAATGATATGCCTTAATGGGGAAAAGGAGAAAACAGCCGAATTCTTACCGAACATGAGAGAGAGCACTCGTGTACGCGTGCATATTTTCTGTCCTGTTTTCTTTTTGCTAGCTCTATGGAACACCGCAAAAAGAGAGAGAGAGAGAGAGAGAGAGAGAGAGAGAAGGCGGGGCCGCCTCATCCGCTGCTGAGTCGTAAATACAGCTGAGCGCCATCAGGTGGCACTTTCTCCTCAAAGGGACCGGACGGTTTCCCGCTGTTTTTCCCGCGCAAATCCCGTTCCCGCCGTTTGGAGGAGGACCTGGTGCGGATAGGAGATGGTAAGCCGGCCCGCGTCCGCTGGGCTTGCGAGTTTCTAAGTCATTCTTTTCCCGGGCACTTAAAGCTCCTGTAGCGGGGTATAAGTCTACGATCGAGTGGAATATGTATTTCCCCTGAACTAGCCTCCTGCAAAAATACGTTGAACTACAGCTCCCATCTTACCCAACATCCGTTGAGGTGCCCGGGAAAAGGGGGAAGTGAAATCCAACGCACGGATGGAAGAAGCTGGTGTAATTAACTTCTTTCCTCGAGGTTAGTCTGGCTTATAAGAAATTAGGTTTCGATTATCAGCTTTCCCCACCTGATATGTGTTTCAGCGTAACCGCGTTATCTTCAGCCAGCAAGTCGCTGACGGAGGGTTAGCTGTTGCCAGTCTACTTGAGGGTGTCACAGACCACCCCCTCGCCTAGAAGTACATGTCTTTGAATTCCATAAGGCTTTCCCTCAAGGAAGAGAGCACTGACAGAAAGCTTCCTCTCTTAAATGTGGAGAACACCGGCCCTTTTATGACTTGTGGACTTCAACGTGTTGGCTCAGGAATTCTGGGAGTTGAAGTCTATAAGTCATAAAGGGACCATCGTTTCCCACCTCTGTCTTAAGTAATTACCGTCACCCCATATAATAACTAAATCGACTAGAATAGATCGAAACAAAGCTCTACATTTTATTTATACCTTCTGTCTTGCATTTGATCTTTGTAACAACCCTGTGAGGTGGGTTTGAGACAGAATCGATACAGAATCACTGAATGAGATTGACCAGTCTCCCCTTTCAATTATGTCAGTGTTTCTCAACCTTGACAATTTTAAGGCATGTGGACTTCAACTCCCAGAATTCCACAGCCAGCAATGCTGGCTGTGGAATTCTGGGAGTTGAAGTCCACATGCCTTAAAATTGTCAAGGTTGAGAAACACTGAATTATGTGTATTTCCAGCCCTCCCTTGCTCATACAGAACCAGAAATCAAGCATATTTTGGGGAGAGGATGGTGAATGAGGTACCATATTTCTCCACCTTCAAATCATTATACTCGATCTATTAAATACAGATAGTTCTCAACTTATGACCACAATTGAGCCCAAAATTTATGTTGTGAAGTGAGACATTTGTTAAGTGAGCTTTGCCTCATTTTACAACCTATCCTGCTACAGTTTTTAAGCGAATCTTAGTTGTTAACTTAGTAACACGGTTGTTAAGTGAATCTGGCTTCCCCATTGACTTTGCTTGTCAGAAGATTGCAAAAGGGGATCACATGATCCCAGGACACTACAGCCAGAGTGTCCTGAGAGGCAATATGAATCAATTGCCAACTGTCTGAATTTTGATCACGTGACCATGGAGATGCTGCAAAGGTGGTAAGTGTGAAAAATGGTCATAAATCACTTCTTTCAGTGATGTAATTTTGAACGGTCACTAAATGAACAGTTATAGGTCGAGGACTACCTGTACACACAATCCATACTCTTGTTCTGAACACCTTCATTATTATATCTACTAATCCCAACATGTAGGGGTAGTAATAATAATTAAGTAGTAGTACTAGTTAAGTTGTGCAAGATTGAAAAATGTGGAGAGACCTGGCCCACAGAATCACCAGGAGTTGGACATGACTGAATGCATAACATCAACCCCAAAGTGTAGGGATATGCAAATTGCTTAGAATAAATCTCTACTTTTTAAACTCATTTTTGCTGGATTTGTGCCTCTGCTTCTGGGTTTTGCAGGTTTAGCCATCAGTATTTGAGAAATCCATAATGGTAGTGGTCATTCCTTTCCTCCATTATTTGTCCAGGAATTGTCTTTACAGTATAATGAATAATAGCTGTTTAAAGATCTCTCTTTTGTGAAAGTGAGTGGGATATTAATCCTGGAAATTAAAAAAAATCTCTATTTTTTTAAAAAAATCCCTAAGTAATAACTAATCTTGTGCAGAGTACACTTTGAATATGTTTATATATTATTCCTTTTACAATTCTGTTTACTGCACAGTAAAGCTTGTAACCAAGAAAGAGAAATGAATATAGAGAAAAGATATTTTTTTATACACCCCACCATAAAAACTCAACTTATACCTCATGGTACATATAACTGAAGGAAATAAGTTGGACCACAGTCAGTTAAATGAAGGTGGTGAAATACATTATTTTAAACAAGTCATTTACAACTACTTGTCTTAAAACCTGTTGTTAAAGTTTAACCAATGTTTTGTTATTTGGTTTTTGAAACTTAATACCAGTGCGCTACCCACACTGTTTAATTGATTGTAATAGAGTATGTAAATAAAAGCATTGCCAGGGAAGGATAATAGTATCTTCAGTAGTTAATATTGTATCTACTCACAACTTTGGTATGTGTAACTTTATTGCTAAATAGGCTGATAACTAGAAAGAAATGGGTTGTTTTATCAACAATGGTAATAGCACTTAAACTTATATACCGTTTCATAGTGCTTTACAGTCCTCCCTAAGTCAGCATATTGCCCCCAACAATCTGGGTCCTCATTTTACCCACCCCAGAAGGATGGAAGGCTGAGTCAATCTTGAGCCAGTGAGAATTGAACTGCTGGCAGTCAGTAGTCAGCAGAAGTAGCCTGCAGTACTGCATTCTAACTACTGCACCACCACGGCTCTTAACTGTCATTGCATAACAGTACTATAATATGCATTTTGGGCACTATTTCTTTCATAGTGGCTTTGGACTGTTTTTTAGTACAGTTTCTCTGCACTAAACTCTCAGAAAGATAAGCTGTATAAACAAGCAGGTATAAAAATAGACTAGCACTATAATATATAGCCAGTATATGGATTTGTGCAATAATTTGCTAGAATTTGGCAATTTGACACTCTTGGTTGGTCCTAAAAAGGTATTGCCATGCTATGTTTTCTAAATTTTTATTTTCACATAGACTAGAACAGATATCATGGGGGTTTTAAGCCCAAAAACATTACATGGTAAAATATTCATAAATACACAGAAGCAAAAGGAGGCTAAATAGTGGAAAAGTTAAGATTTTTCTAAAGACAAGGGAATTGCAGGGAACCTAATTTGTTTGCATTCATGTTCAGTGCAGAAGCTATAACATGGTTACCCATGCCCAAACTGACATTTTTTAAAGAAAAAATACAAATACGAAAAATTATCATGAGATAAATGGTTAGATCTAATAACTGAAGAAAATAATTAATCTCTAGTCCTATATAGTGTTCAATTGTGAGAGTGGCATGGTGACCTATAGGTGAAGACTCTCGCCTCCCACTTGAAAGGTTGAGAGGTCAATCCTAAGCAGTCACAGATGTTTCTCTGTCAGGCACAAAGAGAAAATATCTGCTGTGAACTCGGCATAGGAAGGGCATCCAGCCAGTAAATGCTCAGCTCCATTCAGTCACCTTGACTCCACCCCGAATCAAAGCATTTCACTATTACATGGTCATAAAAAGAAAATATATAAAGTTCAAATGTGAGTGTTTAGAAATGACTTAACTGTCTGATTTGGTAGTTAATGTGTGCTAAGAGAATCATAATTAACTACCAGTTAATTATGATTCTCTTAGCCAGTTTGCACCACTTCGTCAGAACCAGTGGTGGGATTCATCCAGTTCGCACCACTTCGTCAGAACCAGTAGCTAATTTTTTATTGCCCAAGCCCAGAATGGACTTCCGGAAGCAGCATCCACACAGAGAACCGGTTGTTCATATATTTGAATCCCACCACTGAACTTCACTCAAAATGCTATTAGTAGTGGAAATCTTGGTTAAAAAATTGCCCGCATGCTTAGTTATAGAATTGTGTTTTAGCCATCTGTAAAGTCAGGCCTTTAATCTCAATAGAGAGAGTATTCTAAAATTCTGCAGCTGCAGGCAGACTTCTCAAATGATCTTATGAAGAAAATGAGAGTCTTATAGAAAAAAACTTATTTATTGAATATTCATGTTTATTTATTTCCTTTTATGTCACCCAAACAACAGGTATAGAATTATTAAAATATTATATAGAAAATGTATTTTGGGCATCAGAGGAAATATCTTCCATTCAGCTTTGAAAAAGCCATGTAGATTTAAAAATCTGTTCATTTTTGGAGTTTAAAAAGGAGTTTATTTTATACATTTATTTTGTAATTTATAAATTTATAAATATATTTTGTGAATCAACTAAATGTTTGATTATACATTGTTTTGTGTTAAATTATTTTATATTTTTATTGTGACATGTGTTTAGATCAGTGGTTCTCAACCTGTGGGTCGGGACCCCATTTGGGGTCGAACGACCATTTCACGGGGGTCGCCAAACAAGGCTGTCTGCCATTTATTTCCCCTTTTCTTTGGCCAGGCCCCTGGCACCCGGTGATGTATAAGTGGTTGGGGGTCACCACAACATGGAGAAATGTATTATGGGGTGGCGGCATTAGAAAGGTTGAGAACCACTGGTTTAGACAATTATGGGATAATATAAATGAAACATAAATATATGATTCTACAGTCAACACAATATTCCTTGTATTTTCAACATGATAAATGAAACAAACACATCAGAAACAAGTTTTATATATGAGTTTCTTAATAGTTTTGAAGTAGTTGCATATACTGATATTTTCTATTGAAGAAAAAATACCACACTGAATTATAGGTAGTAAAACCTATGCAGATAAACATATATAAAACTATTTTTATGGCTGAACTCAGCTATATCATCCTTTGAATATAATTTTTATATATAAAACTCTGCAAATGAATTGTGTGGGAAGTTCTCACAAAGTCTATCAAAGATGATGCCCATCAGATAAATTGAGACTTTTCAGTCTCTCAGTGTAGTCCTTTGTTTTGACTTATGTACCTAAGATTTTTGGTTTTGAATGCATGTAGCCTGGCTTTTCCTATTTAGTCAAAGAAAAGAGGTCTGAGCGTTGAAGAGAAGAGAACTCGGATGATGGAAATCTTTTTTGAAACAGTAAGTAATGTTTGTTGTTGCTTTCTATTACTTTGGATTTTTTTTTTAAGAAACAGTCTGATTTGAAAATATTCATTTGCCAAGAGGATTGGTCAAAGGTCCTTGCTATATAATAATGGCTGTAGTATAAGTAATATATGTCTAAGAGAAATTTATCATGTAAACTCATGTGGGAAAATGATCATGTCAAAAACAGCATACAAATTTTACATGTTGTCTGTGGTATAATTAACTTTTCTTGAATTCCACTCTCAATCTGACAACTAACCTTTGTAAATTACCTTTTAATGTAAGATATTCCAAATATTCTAAAAATGTGTATAGTGTTTTATATATTTTTATCTTAATTTGAGGAAAACTCTATTTTAGTAGAGTTAAAAAGACTTTGATGACTCAGGAACCTATGGTTATTAAAGACGTCCTAAAGTTAGTCAACTTGCATCATGAATGGTGGAGCAAAGAACCTGCATGCATGAATAAACATCTTTTTAATCTGGAATATTATTATATTTTTATGTGTACAACTTTGAATGATATGCTCTGAATCAGTGCTATAAACAAGCATATCTTGTATGTTAATATATTTGATGTTTTCTTTGTATTTTATTTTGAATTGCATGTGAAGTTTGTGAAGTCTATAAAAGTTTGCTCTGGAATGCTGAACAAAAGAATTTCATTTGATTTAGTGCTTTCTAAATTTAAAAAGGAGGCAAACTAAATGTTCTTACTTTCACAAATATTTGCTTATTGTTGTCTACTTTGGGTGATTTTTAAAGTATTCCTTTACAGTTCCGTTAATTTTATACCTGAAAAGGATAATTCTAGGACACATTAGCAGTTATTGATATCACTGTCTAAAAATGTTTATGAAGAAGAAATATAGTAACTAGTATTCAGTAAATAACAGGATGCAATTACTAGAAGCAGAGAAAAGTATGTGTCTTGGGGAGAAAGTGACTTTGAAGAAATGCAAGTAATCAGATAGATGGCTTTTTAATTCTAATCAGAAAATGTATTCTAATAGTGTGGTTAAATTATTTTTAATATAGTTTTGTTCCTTTTATTCTTACAATGTGTTTAGTGAAAGAATAAAAATCTCCCATTAAAAAGTTCAGTAATGTTTCTGCCCTTTGCTAATAGGAACACATTACAAAACAGTTTTCTTCTCATTTTTTGGGTAACAGAAAGATGTATTCCAGTTAAAGGATATTGAGAAAATTGCTTCGAAAGAGAAAGGAATAAGTGAGTACCTAGGCTTGATTGTTTCTAAGCTTGAGTCATAATTGAGACAAACAAAAGAGTTTTTGTTTTTTCCAAAGACATCATGTTCTTACTCTCACAGAAGTCTGAAAATAGGATCTAACTGGGTTTGGTTGTTTATTTTAATATTCATTCCTCCTATTTTCTCCACAACAACAACCCTGTGAGATGGGTTGGGCTGACAGAGAGTGATTGGCCCAAAGTCACTCAGCTATCTTTCATGTCTAAAGTGGGACTAAAACTTTCTCGGTTTCTAGCCTGGTGCCTTAACCACAAGGCCAAATTGGCTCTATGTAAGAAATTATTATAATTAGTATTACAGTCGGCCAGATATTTAAACTCAATTGGGCATTTTTAACCACCTATCATGTCATCCCCAAGGTCCTGGGATAGGCAGATATTTTTATTTGATGGTGTTAAAGATATCATCTCAGGGTGTAAGCTGTTCCAAGTCAACTGACTTTCAACTGACTGATGATGATTTTGTCAATGCTGATGGTGTTCAAATGGTGCTCCAGGTATCAAGGAACCTATTACTATTCATACTATTTTTTGCTTCTTCTTTTTTTTGCCATAGTCATTCTATTTCTATTTGCATGTCTTTGTACTTTGTGATTTTCTCCAATTCTTCCTTTTCTATTCTTCTGTCTCCAGGTACTACCGCATCCACTATCCAGACTAATTTTTATATATACAGTAATGTAAATTACAGCTGCCAGTTCTTTAGGTGATACTAGCCTTCATTCATATCAAGTGTGTCCCAAGAAACTAGGATGTTATAATGTATTGGCATAAGATACCTGTGGATCTGTAATTCATAGATAGAAATTTTGTCATTGTGCATATTTTCTAAGTGTTGTGCAAGATTTTTTGGTATGACACAATTTGCCAGTAACCATTCTACTGATTTATGCCATAATCTCTCAACTTTTCAGATCTTTAAAAATATTATTATTCTGCCTATATATATACATGAATTCAGTTATGTAATCTGTGTTCAGTATAGATAACAGAGATGCAGATAAAGGTAGTTTCAACAGCATTACCATTTACTTATTCTGCAATTTATCTATAATATTTGAGCTAAATTACCTAATATTTATATTTTTGGGACTGATTTCATAAACCTGACTTAAATTTTAAGTGTGCTCATTCATTTTTTCTTGATTTGACTGCATATATTAAAAGTGTCCTGATCTCAGGAGATGGGAAGGATAAATCCCAGGGAAAATCAACTAGTTCAGAGGAGTACATCATGTTATATACAGTAATAGGAAATCAATGTTTTCAGGATTCCTTTAGAGAAATAATAGTGGATTGGGAAGAATTTTAAATTCCTCTGGATCTGTGCTGAAGGATCCTCTTGATATTTACTCCATGTACTAATAGAATTAGAATTGCCTCTGTTCTGTTACAAATATAGTTTCTTACAAGAAAAAGCTATGTAAATTCAACTTTTTTGCAATTTTTTCATAAAAGTGATTTTAATGGAACTCTGTGTGTTGGTTTGCTATATGCATAATTAAGCCTAATTTGTCATCTGCTATTTTGTGGTAATTTACAAAGTTTTCAGAAATTGTTGAAATTTTCTCAAAGGATGTTCTGAATCTTTATTATGCTCACTGATGTTTTAATGAATAGTTTGTTTTCCCTAATCTATATAAGTTTTCAAAATAATAATTATGATTATTTCTTTGACAGCGTCTATGTCAGTGAAGGATATCTTACAGAGCTTAGTTGATGATGGTATGGTAGACACTGAGAGGATTGGAACATCAAATTATTTTTGGGCTTTCCCAAGTAAAGCATTACACACAAGAAAATGTAAACTGGAAGCACTACAGAATCAGGTAATTCTACTTGCCTCCTATTAGGCAAATACAGTGATCACTAAAAAAACAATCTATTTCCAAATAAGTATTTTCTCATTTAACTTAGTTGCGTTGTATCTTTATTATTTTCAAGTATTTTTATTATGTAAGTATTTTACTATTTGTATTGTTTGAACTTACTAGCACTTTGTTTCAAATATTTTACAGTATTTAGTGTTGAGTTTTTCAGTGGCTTTGAGTTAAATATATAAGCTAGTGCTTAGGATTTAGACATTTGTGAAAGCTGTTCATTTGGTAGCAGGCAAAAGCCATATTAATTACTTTGTAACTGTAATGTTTGGAAGGATTTAAATTTGGTTTACACGTTCTAGATATTTTATGTATTAAATTATTTTATTTTTAAATTTATTTATTTGTATACTGCCCATCTCGCTATCATGTATCACTTGATTCCAATAGCCTTCACTATAGTTTATAGCAAGTGTACGTTTTGGATCTTTATATTTGTTGCTGTGGTTAGCATCAGCGCATATATTGGAGTTAACTGTGGGGAAGCAAAAAGGGAATGGTTCCCTTTCAAAAGTTGTGTCTTACAGGGAAATGTTTGTGAGGATGAGAATGCACAATCTCACAGACTGTTTTGATCTCTTCATTATGATGAATGAACAAGATGGTTTACATTTAAACTGGTCATTTCACTCAGAGGATTTTTAAAGCAACATTCAAGTCATCCTTGAGTTATGACTGTAATAGATCTTGACCATTATATCTGAAAGTCTGGAGGGCGTTAAATGAACCACCTCATTTAAGGACTCCATCCTTAATCTATCCCTGCTCTCCCCAATGCATTTGTTAAATGAATGTGCAGGTCTTTAAGTGGAATATGAGGTGCCTTAGACTACCTGCCTCCATCCTCCCAAGGCCTCGTCCAACCCACCATGCTCTGCCTTCCGCCTCTTGGGGTCCCCACAGCCATTTGGGCCTCCTCCACACCCTGCACCCCAACCCATGACCAAACACCTTTCAAAGATCTCCAGGGCTCAGGATGTTAGGGTAGAGAAGGATTATCTCAAACTTACATTTTTTTTCCAAGAGTGCCATTAATAAGATTGAAATACAGCTTTGCTACTTGTTTACATTTGTGGTCATTTGTAATATTATAGAAAGCATCCAGAAATGTGTGAGTGTGAGTGAGTGAGTGTGTGTGTGTGTGTGTGTGTGTGTGTGTGTGTGTGTGTGTAGTCCTCAACTTGAAACTTTCCGAAGTTATGACAAATATCTTCCCAAAAGGATGACTGCAGAGATGCTGCAGGGCGCACCTACCCTACGTGAATGGTGGGCACATGTGCATGCTGCTCATGCAAATAGAGCTCCGCACATACAGGGGCTTGCTGGCCACTCATATGGAACCACCTCCTCTCCCCGCTCCCCACCTGCCTGTCAAGCCGGAAAGGTTGGGGAATTCTCAGCCAGAGAATACAAAATTTTCAACTTTATTATCTTTTTAATACACAGAAAATGGAAATCCCATGCTTGTTTCACCAAATAATATTATAATTCAAGCAGAACAATTTGGCTTGGTTCTGCTGTGAAATTCATTATGTTTCCGTTGGTCGCTCAAAATATGCTGGGCCACACCCATAATAGTTTGGACTAGCAGCAGCATCTGACTGTCCCAGTCAAGAAAACAAGCCTCTTTGGGGTTGTGTAATATAACTTATTTTGAGTAAAGTTTGCATGCTAACTGTGTAATGGATTGTGTTCTTGGAGGTATATAATCATTTGACGATTGTAGTACTGACCATAAGAATAATTCTTAAGCAGGAATGATTGCAGAGTTTAGTAATGTGTGATCCTTCCCCTTATCAAATAATGTAATAAGACATTTGAACTGAGCAAGTTTTAATAGCTTTATTTTGTTTTTCTTATCATATTCTAAAATGTGTTAGTCTCTTCCAGGCTGAAAGCGATTTGACTCTAGTATCTTCTTACTGGCATCAGGCATCTTCCATACTTTCTTACAATAATTTTATTGAACATTAACATTTAAAATGATAATTAATACAAACCAAAAGTAGAAAAAATAAAAAGTGCAGAAAATAAAAAAGGAATTTAAATATATAATATGTAGTCTCATTTGATGACTGCCTTGTTTTTAAATACAGGCTCCTGCCAATACACAAACACACTGACACTACACCAATGTTCCCCACCCTTTCTGGTTTTGCAGCCCAATGTGTTGGGGGGAGGGTGGGAAGAGGGGATGGTTTTTGTGAGGGGCAGGTGTGTGCACGCTTGCGCATAGCTTCATTTCTGTGAGCAGTGGGCTCACACAGCCCGATTACAAATAGGCCATGATCCGGTAGTGGGCCACAGCCCACAGATTGGGAGCCTCTGCACTACACTACACCACACTAACATTTTTAGATGGTTTGATCTGTGTTACAATTTGATGAACATAGGAATATGAGAGAAAGGCTTGGAGTGTTATGTTCAATAATCTTAATATCCAGCAAGCTTATTAGGTTGCCTTAACAAATGTGAAACTTATGTAAATAAAATGGAATGTTGTTGTGCTGAGCTGCTAGTAGATAGAAGAAGCTTCTTTATTGTCATTTTGCACAAGTAATGAACTTACTATGCAAGGGCTTTAAGCACCATTAATAACTTCATGAAACAGACATGAAAATGTGATAGTTTTTATGAATGCTACTTATCTTAGAGAAATAAAAGTTGGACAACCAGATGCAAAGTTGTATTTGGATATTACATGGATAACTTAAAAATGTTTGCAAATATACTTTTTCTGTCTACTGCTTTGCTGACCTGCTCCTCTTAATACAATAAAAGGAACATTTTTCCAGTTTTTCATTTATAAAAACATCAATATTATGATTATTTTTTACCACATGCATTTACCAATTAACACATATTTCTTCTGCCATTTAGTTAATCGAATGTTTCTCATGGTCCTTGAATTAGCTATTTTTTATTGGCAGAACAGTGCTAGTGTACATTACCTTCCTAAGAGACAAATGCTTTTTTAATTATGTTTATTTCATTGCTACTCTATGCTGGGAGAAGTTCACCTGTGCTACAACAGCCCTGGCTGCATTCCAATTGTTAGAGACCAGGAACTCTTGGTTCCTTGATGGGAAGGAAGAATTTAGAGCGCTTAAAGGTTAATATAGATTACATCAAGGCTACTCAGAACATGCAGTTTGATTTTCAGGGGCCGTACAGCTGCCATTTCAGTAAAACTGGTACAGTATAGAGAAAAAGAAGGAATCGTAAATAAGATCAGAAGAAGGAATGCTGGGGTGACAGAAATATTTTCAGCAAGTAATATAGAAATGAACAGGGGCGCTCCAAGACTCAGATATGAATAGAACAGCTACATTTGTGTTTGTTGATTATAAGATATAAGAGAGAGCATGCTTTGTTTAACTCCAAAATGGTACTGGAGCCAAAGAAAAAGTGGAATATTAGAAATAGAATCTGATATTGCTAGTTTCATTGATAATACGTACTCCTGGCTAGTTCATTACACTAGCCAGAAGCACATATTATTAAATTACATCTGGCACTGTAGACATCAAAGCATCAGTGCCTAGAAGCCATCTTTAATGTTATCAGATATGAAAATAATCTCCAGTATTATCAAATATGACAATAATAAAATGGTTTTTTAAAACAAATAATACCAGGCAATAAAACATTGATATTTTATTTAAGATGATATAAATTTTTATTGATATGTGAGATTACATGAAATACTATGAATAAAAATCTTGTGATTTTTTTTTAACATTCTGTTTTTTTAAGATTAGTGCCCTGAACCTAAGAATTAGCTGGCCCTTGATTAAATATTTGCTATTAGGGTTTAAAAACTCGGTAAAGGCTAGCCTACCTTAGCAAAATTCTAGGCAGTGTAACTGATTCATTTTCTCCAGTCTATAGAATAAATTTACTATACCTATGGTACTATGTAGAGAGAATCGGCATGGTATAATGGTTGATATGCTGAACTGGGAGGTGAGGGGGGGGAGATGGAAGCTAGCTGGGGGTTCTGGGCCACTTCTTTTCACCTAATCAGAGTTAGACTGTAACTGGCCAGCCGATAAACAAAGCTCCTTGTTGCTTCACACAGATAGTTTTGCTATAATAACGAGGTAAGACCAATGCAAAAATAAGCAGACACTACAACCATGCAGGATGAAGGCAAAAAGATGCTACAATTTTCTGTTACAGTGTGATAATAAGAAGCTTAACAAAAATAATGTGTTCGGTTTGCTCAGCTTTCATTTTATTTCTTTTATGTATCTTTTTCACCTATTCACTTCTATTGGACAGAAGCAGAATTTCAGACTTTTCAAATTTAATCGTTATTAGGCATGTCCTACTTTTATTACAGAAGATTTGTCTGATTTAGAATGATAAATATGTCTAACTCTCCTTTTGAGGTTGAAATATGTCGTAAGTCATATGTTTGGATAGAATTCTGCTTGCCAGATACTGAGTGGAAGAATGACTTCCTTTTCCACATTGGCCCAGTTTGTAACTTTTAGAGAATTCTTATAACTGTGTATTAGGGCACAATTGTAAACTATGCATGCAGGGCTTTTGTGAAATGGAAAATTTGTCTTGTTTTAAACCTGAAATAAACATATCAGGTTTCAGGAGTTTTGCCAAATGATTCCATGACGACTGTGGTCTGGAAGAACCCAAAAGACTTTGGAATGACTTTATTGATCTTAGTTAACTCTTGAAACTCTTTGGCTGAGTGTCCTGCCATTCTGCAATTCTGTAAATCAGTATTAGGCTAGGGAGCAATTGGGGAGGAATTCAATTTTTGCCAGCCCTGTCTTGTTATTAACAATAGGGCAAATTAATTTTCATCCGAATCACTGTAGAAGAAGGAATTAAAGCCAGTTCAGCAGTTTCTAAGCTTTGCTGATCTCTGAAAATAAATAAGCAGGGATAAACATAATTAATACTTAAATAAGAAACTACCAGGT